TTAGGCATGCTATGTGTAAATTTTTAAAATGGAAATAGTGTCTAACATATCTGACTTAAGTTCGATTTGTTAATATGCTTTAGTAAGATTATAATAAATAGAATTGCGTATCGTTGGACAAATATTATATCTTTTATCAGTATAAGTACTAATATATTCTAAAGATAGGCGCACGACACATGTTAATGGACAAAATCTGATAAGATAAATGCGCGTTCTCGTTAAGTGTTAGAAAAGCAAAACTAATGTCGATTTGTCTGGCTGTCAAAATGTCAACTTTTTTAGTAATAAATATCCTTCGGGTTGAGTAAAACAAAATTTATGGAAAATTCTTGTGTGGCTTTTTGTGGTTTCAAACTTATTTAATGAGGAAAAATGTGGAATTTTTGCTTCTGTCTAAACCAAAATCTCTCAGCTGGTGGGCCAGATCGCATTTCTCAGGAAACCTTGCAAAAATGTGCGTAGTAATGATACGGATGTTGCCCAACAAAAGTTCACTGTTGGTGTTCTAGTTTCAATTGTTAGCTATATCATCCATGAGCCATAGTAAACGAACGGGTGGCCAACTATGATTACTAATTGCTTTTTGGGGATAAACTTCATTTATCAGCGCGGGAAAATAACGCCATTTTTATTCGGAGAATAATGCTTAATTTACTCGAATATTTAATGTAATTTGTTAATAAAAAACAATTAAATTTACTTTTAAACGCAAAAATATGTTCAGTTATCTTAAATCGAGTTTTCGAGTTTTAAATGACATTTTTGCCTGCGTTCCCTTGTATGAATTATTGTGGAAAAACTCGAAACTACAAATTTACGGCATCTTACTTGATGCTTATTATATATGTATAAATAATATATTTTAATTTTTAATGATTGTTTGTTTTGATTAGGTATATGCATTTGCATAAAAATGTTATTTTGAGTATGGCCATTTATACTTACATTTTTGAAGTAACCCGTTGCAGATCCCAATCCAGTTGTCTAAATTTTGGAAGTGGTATATGTCAAGCAAATGCCGCTGAGTAATATTTCCAGCCGCTGGACTATGTAAAGTCGCGGTCAATACATAAATATGCTAATTTTTTAGTAATCCCAACCGAGGAAAGATAATATAAACATTGAGTGAGAAAATCGTCGTCGTCATAAACATCGCCATCTTATTATGCGTTAGTCATAAATCATTCCGGAGCGACAGTTTGATCTCAAATTACTGGGCATTGTTTGGAATGACCAGTGCTTTTATATATTCAATCCATATATGTAGATTACGACAATTTTGCATCGAGGGGGTGATATTAATAATTTCATTGTTTTCTATAATGAGCATTATGTTCAGTCCTTTTGTGTCGCCAGGTTACAATAATCGCCACAATGGTTGCCCACATCTTATATACTCTGAAATATGAGGTAATTTTACTGATGATTAGGAATATTATTCACAAAGGGTATCTGGTATCATTAATATGAATACTAATCGTTCTGGGAATAAATTTGAAAGAAAGTTTACTTTTTATGACATGTTGTATAAATCGCTTATTTTACTCTATTATTATATTTCTATATGATCAATTTTGTTCAATAATCGTGTTTTTGTTGTCCAGTAACCCATGAAAGATACAATACCACATCGCGTGTAGGTCTAAAAACACAACTATGAGATAGCAAATTCTTTTTGGGGTGTAATTTAAATGCAGATCGATACCCAATACTGCTAATTTATTGTTTAAAAAGTTGCATTCATCAATATAGTTGTTTAAATGTGAGGTGGATGCGAACAATGTACATATAATTCAATGCTTGAAAGCAACATTAGAAGTCATTACAATAAAAGAAACAATTAAAATATTAAGCACAAACGAACAGTTATGGAAATTCATATTTTTACGTCACAAACTTGAAACAAAGCATTTCCGCTGATCGTGATTGCCATCAAAAGGAAAATTACTCAATTACTTAATTTCCAATCTCTCCTTTCGAGAGTATACTTTTAGTTTCATTATTTTAAAATCAGTAATTCCAGTCAGATTTTGATTTTTTTAGACTAAGCTATTTGAAGTTTATTCATATATTTCAACCATAGTTCTTAAAATAAAGTTTCAGCATTATTTTGGGGCGAAAAATAGTTTGATATAGTCAAAAATTACAAAAGTTCGATTTTTGCGGCCTATCGCGATCTCATGCCGTCATCGGAATATTTTCAAACTTCCGATTCTTTTTAATAGCCGGTTGAAGGCTATTATTAAGGAATAGATTAGTACCATCCACAAGATAAACCGTATAAATTATCCCCTAAAATTACCACTCTTTGAACGAATTTCCGTCAATTCTGGTCATGTTCCCATGATAATTTCTATAACAGGGATTTGTTAAATTGGTAAGAACAAATCAAAAAGTGAACCTAATATATAAGCATAAACTGACCGCACCTGACGGTTTTCAGTTCACACTTATTGTTCCGAATTACGACCACAGTTATTATTTTGATTTATATTGTACCGTGACCTAAATATACCTAATCTGTCAAAAATATATAAATAAAATAATAAATATTGGATGATAAATAAATAAAATGCTTAGATTATATATTCGAAATACGACAGAAGAGTTACCGGCGTGAAGGCACGCGATGTGAAAGCTTAGATTCAATGTTACAATAGATGGTGATAGACGAAATATGTCATCAACTCGAACTTAACCTCTTTATATTATCAGCCTCGATATCAAGTATGGGCCTATATTAATCACGTTGCGTTTTGGTTTTAATAGCCTTGGTGTATGCTTGATTGTAGATAACAAAGATTTTCCTGTTTTTACAGAAGGGTACAATGATTTCTGTCACGTTTTTCTATAATCTAACAAATCTAGAATCGTTAAAGAATGTCAGCGATATGTCCAATGTAAACAATGACCACTGAAAAATGAAACTAGCGTCCCGAAGCTAAATTTTCCCGTGATTTATTAATTTGAAAATACAGCAGCAAAACTTGTATTTCGTAGGGTTGATTCCACTTCATAATTCAAGCGCCCCCCTTTTAACAACCCAAAAGCTGGTTTTTCATCAGTAATGAGTCAAATATGCAAGTAGTGTAACATTATATCCTGGCGTTTAATTTGAATACCAATGTATCTCCAGCACAGCGAGAGACTGGGCCACAATGATATACAGAATAAATAAGTCACCCATGTTTGGCCAAGTAAATTCAATAATCTTACAAATAGCGATATATGCGGCCAAACATATTCCGGTGGTTTTAAACGATGGGAAAGATTACCACACTAACATTGGCCTGAATTTTTGAACTCTTATGAACCCATAAAAACGTCAAAAATGAGCCTTTTATAATTGCTCTATGACTTACCGGCGAAGTAACCTCCCATATATCTAATCAAAATATTTGTTTGGCAATATAGGTTTCAACCAGGTGTCGAGTTTCCCAGCAAACATGAGTTATCCGAAGTAGCTAATTCAAGACAAAATGGCTTTGTCAACATTATTGAGTATCAGCTAGTCGAATAAACCTTCAATATCAGATAGGATAGGCAAGGCCGGCATAAACAGAAATTTGAAACAATAAAAAGGATAGATTTTTAGAAAAATGCCGTTCAGAATTTATTAACGTATGAAAAACATTCTTAAAGTTAACGTATTTAATTATTCTTGACTGCACAGATGTTTAATAAACATCAGTTTCATATTTATCAGTTACAATAGAAAATTGGACATTGAGGCTTCCGTAATTTTGATATCTGCTTTCTATATAATATTGGCATCCCACATGACAATCTATTTTATGTTCGTGAAACATTATCAACTTTAAATCTTTGGCGTTGTGAATTCGTTTCTACAGTTGGAAGAATCCGGCGTTGCGCTTGAGAAATATGAATATTGCGATAGATAGTTAGCTTTTCGCACGTCTGAGTCATATTATTCAGACTACTTGTTAAAATATTATTTATTTGTTCAAGTTCTAAATATCGACGGAGCATTAATAATCTTACACGGTAGACATGTGATGATATCACATTGATAGACATCAGGTATCGGTATTATCACACCGTGATGTCAAAAATCTGCGCTAACTTTGACTCACTCACAAGTGAAGACGAGATAATCATATTTGCGTTTGAGAGTTATGCTGGGTCCTGTCTTCCAGGAAAGTCTACAATTGTTCTTGGCCATACATATTGAACTCGTACATATTGTAATCTGTGGATCTGGTCTAATTGAAAAGTATTGTCACACCCGGATGCTGTCGGGACATTGGATGTATGTTCCGATTGTTTACTTCCCCATGCAGTCATTGGGGGATTTCATATGTCGTACATTTAACATATATCATATGACTCAACTTAAGAATTGTTCAATATTTGTCTCCTAATATTATCTAATAATATTAATCTATTATTTTTTTTCGCATACATCTGTGTATGTTTTTATTAGCCAATTTGGAAAATATAATACCTACCAGTAAAATTTCTGCGTGTATTTTAATACCAAACATAAAAGAGAGCTATTTCCGCCTCCGCACATTAAAACACTCAGATTATAGTTCTATTATTTATAATTCCACCAAAATATAAAACTCTAAAACTTTAATCGGTGTCTGAATCTAAATTGGTGGTTTCGTTCGCGATATAAAAAAGAGTAGCATACTTTGCCTCTGAATACGTCTATTCGACTCATTACCATACCGATACGATTGTTCATAATAGAACATAGGCTTACATGGGACAGAATTTTGTTTTCTTTGAGTATTTGAGTTTTATTTGAAAGAAGTACTATTGTGGTAAAAATGATTGTATATGGAGCGCAACTAAACCGCGACCGTCACGTCGTCGGTACATTTCTTATTTGGATAAATATTAATGAAGTTTAGCGAGGCAAATTCTCTTTTGAAAACGAGACGTCTGAAACTATGATAAATAAAATAAACTAAAAACAAATGATGTCATTTTTGTTTTGTTAATTCATCTTTTTTTCTTTATTATTTCAGAATTTCGGTAAAATCTTTTAATCCATCCGGAATCATCAGTAGCGATAAACATGAGTAAGGTATGTATCTTCTTATTTTTCTTGTATTTAAATATCAAATAGGTCTCGAACTATTAAATTAAAGTCAATTGCAAGGCAGTATCTTATCACTTATGCATTTCGTGTATCGAAGTCCTATTGTTTCAGCATCGAAACTTAGAACACGTCAGGTGTTATCAGTAAATTGTGCAACGCGTACAATAGACCTTTCCCGTAAGTGCTTGTTTATCTTTGCGCCCTTCTGCGTATTGCAAACACTATGGATCAAAGAGATATCAAAATTCGAATCTCATTTGTTAGCAAAGGCTCGAAATTCATGCTACGATTTGACGCCCGATTATACTTCTGTATTTAAACACAGATCCAAACTAGGGCAGTCGCATTTTATTAAGGTTAACGCAACATACTTGTGTTTATTGAATCATTGAATTCGCTATACTTAGAATATGAAAAGCAAAAAATCAAAAGAATCCCTTCAATACACACAGGAGGATGAACTTAGCAAGTTGAGGAGAGCTATAGAAGACCAACGCCTAAAAGCTGAACGAGTGGATATATCAGGGAAAGGGCAGTCAGGCGGTGGTTATTCGCCATTTTCTAATCACGGATCTAATAGTACTGGCCAGAATCATCATAACACAACCGGATCGCCGGAAACTGAAAGTGTTTATCCGGTTTTTGTCCCACCAGAACAACACGATCATTGGTCTAGTGCGGCTTCAACGGTTAGCGGACTTTCAGCAGAGTCAACGTTGACGAGAAATAACGTCGGTAAGTGTGTTACCAGGTTTTCATTAACATATACTTGTAAAATCATTACTCTATTAGTTGTGCAATTAATCAGTGTAAAAACAATTCTATTCCAATCAAAAGTTTGGATAACATAAGGCGTGTGTACAAGTAATCTGCATTGCCGAACTAACAGAAACATACTGTACTTTCTACTGTTCCTATTGATAAAATAAATACTGATCAATTTGTTCAAAATTTAATAATTGCAATAAACTTCAGATAATATATCGCCGGATTCTTCCATCAATAAACGAGTATCATCTGGAAGTTTATCAAGCGTTAGTTCTCATATAAGTGGGTCGTCGTCCAGTACCGGAAGTAGTGGTCCAGAGGTAGAAGCGGCGATGAAGCAGAGCAAAAAGAAACGCTGGGTAAGGGTAAGAATCATTAATCATTGTTTATCATTATATTAATACTATTAATTGTGTCATTTTGAAACAAAATCATACTATTTTCTGTTGTTATTCATTTGCATTCATCTTACACAAGACCCAAATGGACGAGCAGTTGACACGTGGAATGGGTTAGCACTTAATCACCCCGAAAATAAACACCCAGCACGATTTGTGAGGATTGATTTGATCTGGTAATATAATCCATTCCAGGCATCAACGTGCATTGTAGTCCAATGAAGCGAACCACCGTCTGAGTTTTTAAATTAGGTCTTTTGGGGTTAATCGAAAAAGCAAGCAGCCAGACGTTTTGTGTGGACTATTTTTCAACAAAAACCTATAAAATTTATCAGAAGTGGACCACGGTCGAACTAAGCATAATAACTCGAAGTATCAATGGAATACATACGTCTTAGTATTAAATTCCTGGTTTAATTGTGTACACTAAGCTGTATTTTGGGTTTCGGAGTGATTGAGGGTTTTTCAGTACGGTTTAATTCTTCTTATTTAGATCTGATATCACCCAGTTCGTGTTCATCCCATGAGTTCATGTTAAAATTAACATTTCGTATTTTATCATTATGTGGATCATGATCATTGCTTGTATCATCAAGTGTGTCATTTTGTAAATATCGATCGCATCTGTGTACAGTTTTTATAAATGTTTTTATTTTGTTACAGCTTCCTCTGAAATCTTTTTCAAAGACAAGTAAATCTCAATCGTCATCACAACCCGATCTATTAGACAGTGAAGATTCTGGATGCCCATTGTCCCCAACTTTAAGCAGACGAAATCTTCATACGACTGGAAGGTATGATAAGATACTCGGTTATTTTTTATACTTAAAGCTTGATTGTTTTTGTGAGCTGACCTGTTCATTATTTCATTCTAGTTTCTTTGAGACTACAAATGCCAGTTCTGCATATTTATTTTTCGTATTTCATTTGAAATCATTTCTTCTTCCATTAGTATTAACGTTATGAACTTCCCGAAGACGAAAACAAACAATTTCACAATTTAATTTTCATTTCAATCCAGCGTCGGTTCCAGCTCTGAATCAGAAGCAATCCAAGAATTGTTACAAGTTGTTCAGGAAAAGGAGAGAAAATTAACTGATATCAGATTAGAAGCTCTTACTTCTCAACATCAAATTCATCAACTGAAAGAACAAATTACTCAAATGCAGGTGGGTGTGCTGAATTTTAATTAGAACCCGAAACTTAATTTATTCTTGACTGGCGTCACGGCTCACAAATAAGATAATAAAAAGGAAAAATGAACTATTGTGCTATACTCACTCTGATATGTTTTGTGAACCAAACATAATAATAGAATGAATAAAATAACATCATAATTTACATTGATTGAAATACTATTCGTCCTTACCAACTTTAGAACGAAATGCAACTTTTGAGACTTGAGAATGAGCGCCTCCAAGCGACAGTCGAATCCAACTGCCAAACCGAGGAGAGAACTAATACTCCGTTACACGCTACTTCAAAGACTCTATCACGGACAACTTCATCTGGTTTGATGAAGCTATCACATTCAAGAACAGACTCAAGAGGTGAGATACTGAAATTTGAGCTCCCAGAATCAAAATTTAATCGCAATATGACATAAAAATTGCATAATTCAAACTTCTTTTTTGTTTTATATTTCCAGGGTCAAATCGATCACTGAGCTGCAACCAATCTCCTGTAACATCCCCAATGCATCATTCGAAATATCCGAGTACGCATCCTACTGCCTTCGAAACAAGTTTTCCACCCATAGGTAAGAATATATAAAGTAGTATCACGACTATAGTCGATTCTAAGATTATCTGTCAAATGAAGTCAAACTGTTCGGGATAATTTCAACTCACATGCTTTGACCTTTTACAGATTGCAGAAATCTACAAAATACTCTCTCACCTGATAGCGAGTCGGAAGGTTTCCAGGTTCGCTTCCTTGTTACCAGTTCAAGTACTATGCTACCCGGAAAAAGGTCAATAGTCATCGGATCACTTCCGGTTCCCCGACGAGCAACATGGGAGGAATTAGACAGAGTATCTCAAACTATATTGACGGTAGGTCAAAATTTAATTGTGTAATATGACTATCATAGAAAAGCAATTATTGGGTAGTAAAAAATTGGTTGGTATTGAAGCGTATTAAATAACTAACAACTAAACGTTCCCATTTCAGGAATACTGTCGAGTTCTAGATGGCGAGTCGAGACTTGGCTTATCAACAGCCAGTATAGAATCATATCAAGTTGGCGATTTGAAGAGGGAAATCGGCGGGAAAACACCGGATTTGTTACCTTGTGCTTACATCGTTGGCGATGTAGATACAGTCGAAATCAAATTAAAGGGTATTGTAGAAATGCATTTTTGTCTCCTATATTCTGACTCGATTATACAATTTGCCCATCTCTAATCATTACTCCTCTTATACAGATGCATCACAGGGCTGTTCAGATCAGATGGCGTTTGATCTTCTTATATCACGAGATACATTGGACTGCTACATATCTTTGTTACTTCAACATGGAAGAATAATTCTAGAAGGACCAGCGGGAACTGGAAAAACATCGTTTGCTATGAGGTATTATTGAAATTTTGATATTTTATATTAGTTTTGCGTAGGAGATCAATTTTTCCATTACAATTTTGTTAAAAATAATCTCTCTTCAATTTTTCAGCCTGTCAGAGTATTTGGTTGCAAGATTAAGAGCAGAAGGCGGCAATACGATGGTGTCTGTGATCGACGTAATGCAGGATGGCGAAGAGGTATATATCGTTCCTCAGCAGCAATAGGATTACTATTCACATTTTTACTATGTTTAACTAGTATTATTCTCATATACTATTATTTTCGTAGAATTAACGATTAAAATTACATCCATTTTCAGAAAATTCAACGCTACATTTCTGATCTTACCGCTGCTTCACGAAACGGAGAATCACCGTCGGTACCTGCTGTTTTGGTAGTTGAAAATCTTCATCTACTTTCCTCGGTCTCCGACGCATTAAACCAACTCGTTACCTTATGTGGGTCCCACGGCAGAAGCCCGTATATCATAGGTACATACATAGATAAAATTATACAATAACAGCACTTTATGAATCTTGTGTTTGAAGCACGTTTATATAACAGAACAATATTGGATTTTTCAATGTGGATATGAAAAGTTTTTTAAATAAGACCTCAGCAAGAGAGTTTTGAAAATACATATAATATTGCCTGTATAAGATTAACACAAATCCCCAATTAACAGTATTGATTAATATACACTTTCCTGCTTTACTTACAGGCACCATGCTACCATTATTCAATGAAAGGTCTGAAACACATCGAGATTTCCGACTTATATCTTGCTCATGTGACAGTCCACACGTTCAAAGATATTTGACACGAGCATTGAGGTAACTATACTGTGCTAATTGATCTTGTAACAATGCTTCGATTTGTGTCAACGAAAACTAGATTTGACAAATTTTTATCTAGTATATATCTATGCCTAATTTTTTTCTGACCGGTGCATTCTTTTTTACTTTTTAGACGATCTTTGGTTGATCACATACTGACGTCATCCAACACGTGTGCAAGAGAAAACAGTAAATTATCAAGTATAGTTTTATGGATACCACTGTGTTGGCAACATATCAATCGATTCCTCGAACTACAAAATGCTCAATATGCCTATATAGGTAAGATCGTGTTTCAATACACTATTTTTAGTTTAATTGTTACCACAGGACTTGTATAACACGATCGCAACATTTGCAGGTCCCAAGATGTTTCTGAAAACGCCGATGAATGTAGCGTCATCGTGTAATTGGTTTGTTGGATTATGGAATCGTTCGATTGTTCCTCATCTAACTACAGCAATAAGAAGTGTACCTCTCCCACATGGAAATGCATGGGAAGACCCGTCAAAATGGGTGATCAATAGGTAGGATTTCACTTATTTGAAATAAGAATGATAGTCATGATTTATGGTATACTATTATTTGGTGCATTTGGTGAAGTTATTCATCTGATTTTGACTTGACGAAAAGTGAATATTCTGTTTCAGTGACAATATGTTCATTCGTATTTCAGCTTTCCATGGGATTCTTGTGAAACCGCCGTGAATCCAGCAAAAACTCTCTGCAAAGTAGAACCTCCAAATCCACAAGATTTACCTAGATATCCATCAGTTCACGAAAATCTTGCGAACGAGAATATTGAAGACTTACCATTACCTCCACCACCAGTTCCTGTTCGATCACCCACAAACTCATTTCGAACTCCTTGTGCAACATCGTCTCCCATCAAAACAGCGTCAAGAAGTTCAAATGGATGTATGAATAGTTATACCAGAAGCAATAGCAATGACAATATATGGCAGAGACAAACTGGAAGTAACACCCTGACCCGTTCACCGGCTCACACATCATCAAATACGCATAGACATTTTCATACAGTAGGCAGCAAGCCCCAAAAATATTCTCGTGCGGGCAGCACAGGTCTGTCAGAGGGTGAAGATCCCTTAAAGAGTATGCTTGCACAGTTGAAGCAATCGGCTTTGAGCACCTCAAAAGATGATTTTAATACAACCCCAAACAATTTCTGATCTAAATTTGTTATTCCCAATTCCCGAAACATCAACTCGTTATGATTATATTGATTTGAAAGTCTCAACTGATAGCAATAAAGTTCATGTTCAGCAGTTTTTTGCATTTTGACAATTATCTTAGATTACTAGAACCCAACATTTGTCAATAAATGTTTTTCATACTTCGTTTTATTTTCGTTTCACTTAAATTAATTTTTTCTTATTTTGCATTTGATGTATCTTTTTGTTCCTAACGTTGGAAATTGTTCACCCTTCTGCCAGTAACTGAGGAAAATCGTTGTAAATTTCACACATGTAAGAAATTAATATCTATAGTCCAAATATCACTTTATCGTTTTTTCATCCAAAAACAACATGGCCGATTCGAATATGAATTCTTTTCGTATACTGGTCAAATTTGTAGTACATCTGTAGCAATGGTTATAGACAAAATAAGTTTTTAAGAAGCGCGATTTGTCTATGGCCTGTTTCTGGAGTAAGATTTTATGTATGATATAGCATGAATATATTTGTTATTATGGTCATTTGACGTCGTCAGCTTTTCTGCTACTATCATTTAGGTTCGATGGTGTCGTTAAAGAGGACTGAAAACTTTCTCTGCTGGTGAACGAGGGCATGGCGTTGTACGAATCGCCAATGGCGTTTTAGTATTTGTGTTTTTCAGTCTCGACAAAGTTGACCGCTGATCTACTGCTGGTCGGTGGTCAGTCGAAGCTTTGATTTTATCATTTCGATTTAAATTTTGACCTATTTGAAGCGAAATAAAAATTTATCTCGATATGCGTTCTGTTTCTGTATTTGTTCTGTGAGGTAGACCAATTGTCAGGAAGCCAGGTTATATCAGCCAGTAAATAAATTTAAAATTTTGGTAACGGACAAGGGTAAAGAATAACGTTGTATGGTGAACGTTTGAAAACAACAACAAATGAATAACCAGGAAAAGGTCATGATATTATGCACACAAGTTATTTCAGGATTATTTAGAATGTATTTCTAGTGCTTGAAGCCTCAGATCAATGTGACAAGATTTCTCTCAAAGCTAAAATATATATAAACACGTTTGCCACTACTGATTTGGGGAGTCTATAAGTATATAGCTATCCATGTTATCATGCGACAATTGAGTCAAATTTCCAAATACTATTTAGGCCTACACAACTTAAATGCAACGATGCTCATATTCATAGTCCCCAGTTCCCACAAATATTAGTTTCTACGCAGATCCGACTGTTGTGGGACAAAACAAAAAATCGAATGTAGTTTGTGCATAGGCCGTACGTCATATAGTTCGTTTTGCTAAATTCAATTTTGTTGTTGTCGTTGTAAACAAAATCGCCACTTTTTTATAAATAATGGACCCATTGATTTCAAATTTTCAGTATATACTAAAAAACGCTATCGCTCTTGATCGATAGTATGTTGGTACGCGATATCCCACGAAAGCGAGGTTGAATCTGCTCCAAATTTGGCATGTGCATTCGTCATATCTCGGACCAGGTGCCTATTAATTTCGGATGAATTATGTTGTATAATTAGCGAGTTATTAATTTCTTTTTTTTCAGAATTAGCGAGTTACTGATTAATTAACTAATTTTTTTCTTTGCGGAAGATTGATAAGTCAGGTTTTTATTTTTCAAAATTTCCAATTGAGTTCAATGGCGCCCGATATTTTCCACGCAAAACTTTGCTACGTGCCAATTCGTAGCATTACTTAGCGACACCCTCTCTGTGATCTCTGCGAACGAGAATATCGGTCGGAGACCGAAGACTTATCGATCGAAAGTTGGGAGATCCACCAAGACAAAAACTGCAGTTTCGATTCATTCGCTCTGACTCTATAGTGACACCGCATGTCCCATCACTATTAATTAATAACTCGCCAATTATACGACATAATTCATCCAAAATCAATAGGCTTCTGGTCCGAGATATGATGAATGCTCGTTTTCGTGAGATATCGCGTGCATCTAACAGACAAACAAACAAATACCTATCAACATACTTACCGATCAAGATCGATAGGTAATAAGCGTTTGAGCGAGTTATTGGTATAACAAGGACACGAATTTGTGCATTTTAAAAATGCGCCAATTTGACCCCTGTAGAATTGCATATTGATAGTGCGCGCCGATTCCTGAGTTAGTTTCAACGCGTAGCCGATTTTTTAAAAAAGCGATAAAGCTCGATGTTTGGAAATAAGCACCTCTTTTCGAACCAAACCGCAAAAGCATCATAACAAAGATCCAGCTACTGGTATTTTTCAATGATGACGCCATTAAATTTGAAAATTGCAGACCTTGTGGCGGTCCACATTCGCAATCTGGTGGTCAGACGAAGTCATGAAGACTGCGGTACGGGTAGTCTACAGATTGCATACCCGTTACTACTTCGTTTTTATCTTCGTTCCCATATATTTGAGCATTGTTCTTAAGTTTTTTACTACGCTGCTTTGCGTTGCCGATAATTTGGCACAATGGACCTTTCCTCGAGCATCGACTTCCTTGTCCGACATCGTGACATTGGCTAATCAGCAAAAGACAAAAAATGACGTAACAATGCCCCTTTTTCGCATCCGCTCAGACACTTTCTTACTCGGACAGATTTTCACGCGTGGTCGTAAACATTAGGCCCTACCTCGTTTTCGCGTTTTTGAACTCTATTCGTTAGTTTTCAGTTGTGTTTCGAAAATTGAAATATAAATCAGATAATTCAATGATCACTCTGTCTTCCTAGGAGTGTTAATTTAATTGCAGTAATAAAAAATTAGTGTAGAAATAGCTGTGATAGACTAGGCTAAAATTATTTTCCAGTAGTTTTAAAAAGCAGATTGTTGTATGCGATGAATCATAATGGTGGTTTGAAACACATACCCCATTTTACAGGCGCCAACTCGCGAAACCACTCTTAAATAAGGCCCGAAATGTTTGCAATGGTAAAGTACAGGGAGAATTTTTCGGGGGTCAAAAGTCGGGGAAAGGTCCATTCTTGATGGAACTTGGCACTATAATCCAATTAACCTGTGCGGAATAACGAGAAAACTGGTCATTTTATTGTAAATGCTTACGAACTTGTTAATTCTCTAAAAATAATTTTTCAAATTGGCATTTTATCAAGCCCATCTGAACACTTGAATACCTCATCTGGACTGTTGTGATGTCTCGATATTGTCCATATCTGGCAACGGGATATGATAAAGCCGGAGGAAGATATTGTTTTTCTGTGTTTGGTTGGTCTTGTGTTCATTTTTGTCTGACTGTTATAAAGGTTTGATTGATGTGGATACTATAATACAGTCTTCTAAACTGACAGCCGAGTCATTTGTTGTCGATGATCATGCAAGCTACGGCAGAACGATCCCTGACAATATGCAAGTAGTTTCTAATATCTTTCCTCATCCTACATACAGGCATATATTATAACTGTATAATTAAAGACGATTTCTTTGTGCAAATTGATAAAATTATTGTTTCTGAAAGGCCTAGAGACCACATGTTCTATTTTTTTAAATGAGGCATCACAACTTTTCATCATCATGAGGGAATAGCACTGGAAAGGTTGAAACAACTGTTTTAGCCTGATACTGTTCCTATATTTTTATAGTTATCTCAGGGGGAAAAGTAGCTATAAACGATGGTTCACTCATGTGGCGAGCCACCACATAAACTCACTTTGTGTAATTTTTTTCAGAGGCACAAAGTACTAATATTCTTTTTAAACTAGTATTTTGTGAAATATAAGATCAGTGTTGACGCTGGCTCGTTATTCAACAAGTACATCCGCCGAAGATGGTACTCACTAGGAGAAGCTGATTACGAAGTTGGAACATTTCAAATAAATTGTGAGTAGTGAATTGTTATCTCAAAATTGTATCATAACCAATATAGGTTACTGTTCCAAGCAGGCAACTAAGCTTGTATGATAATGCAATGGTTTGTTCTCACTGGAAGTTCAATCGAGACCATATGACTAGTCACACTCTCAATTTCAATGGGCTGGTCTGTTGCCTGCCGATAATATTGTTAATATTTGTTGAACCGATGAGAAAAGAAGTAGAAGTAGACTAAAGGATGATGCGCAAAGTGTCGGCAGTCGAAATTTCCACTGATCGCAGTCGGGAGTCGCACGTTTTTATAAACGGGAGAGTTTGAACTGAAAAATAATGAGACCACCCAAAAGCTTGCATTGGCAAAATTTCTTAAGGTTTCGAGTTGGGGGCTGTAGTAGTCGGGCGATTTTTTAACGGTAGCCGGTAATCAAAATCCAATTTTTTGTCAACCCGGAGATTATTTCTGAATGAACCGGTATTACTTTTTCCCTCTGCGCAACCTAGGCGAGTTGGAGACTATCGAACTAGAAATATATATAACTTCAAAACGCAGTAACGTGATAGCACTAAAGAGCAAAGTAAGTGATGGCAGTAAAAGTAGCACGTAAAGAACATACATAATATATTTCTCCGAAGTTATTAAACTAGTCCACCATCTTTATGACAAATCCGACGTGCTGCGATGATGAACTAATTTGCAACATCGATTTGAGGCGTTGTAATGATCAGATAACAGATTCACGTGCAGGTCGCATGGGATATAGAAGTAGAGTCCAGTCATCACACTTTCGTGTCCATGTATTTGAGCATTGTTCTCTTGGTTACATTTGCTGGTTCGGTAAAATTTCCATGATGTTATTTTTATTTTGTAATAATTGGAACGATTTTTATCATTGTTTGTGATTAATGAACTTTCTCACATAGAGAAGAGAATATAAAATTGATTTGCTACTCTGAATATCCTTATCAGATTCGATTGTTTCCATAGTCCGTTGGCATGATCAATTCATTCTGCACGATTTGTGACGCAAACACTACAAATTGTGGAATCAATTCTTACGAGTATTTTTACGAGAAAACATAACCTCGCGGTTTCAGATTGTTTACCGATCTTTGTGATTGCCGTATACTTTAGAGTAAAACACATAAACTTTAATAAAGAAAACCGAGGCGCGTAAATTCATATTTGTAACTATATGCCGTCGTCAAATCTATGTGTAATCATAGTCTGTTTGCATTGTTCAAAAACAAATCAGCATTCATTCTTGGCACAAGAGAAACACAAAGGATAGTTTTGTCACTTGAATTAGTCACAATACCGAGTTTGCTTCCGTTCGTCATTTCCGCCGCCCAACGCGAAGTATTTAATAACTCAATCTCCGATGTGACGCAAGACCAAAGAAAAGCACTCGACCGGCAGGTCAGTCAATGCCACAGATACTTTACGTGATGTTTTGCAGTCACCATTTCATATTTTAAAGGTGTGATCTGTTAAAGAACACACTGAAAAAATAGAATAAAAGCTATAAAAACGTTACTGAAAATGGCGTTTCAGTATCAGCTGTTCCGTCGAGGTGTTTTGCTTGATTGAGAAGTGCAAGGGGTGTGTTCAAGCTTGTACAATAAATAATCTGGGTATATTTCGCGTTATGTACCCGAAAATTTATTATGTGTAAGTTGTAACCTTCTTATGTAAAAAAGTAATAAATACCATATCCCTGCAATATTTGAATAATAATTCTGCACAACTGTGATCTCGTTACTTTTACCAACACCAGACCAACTACAGTATAATTTCCATCGTAATACCTCATAAATTTGTACTCAACAAAGGCGGCATTATGTTGGATAGACAATTTGATCTGCCATATTTGTTAACAAACGTACTCGAACCGCAAGTGTAATATAATGAGAATTTATGACCGATTTACAAGACTATTTCTCACAAATTTTCATTTATTATTGCATTTGTAAAATAAAAATATCGAAACTCAAATATAAGCATATAAAAGCTGTAACAAACACACACATATAAACCAACTGGATTTTAAGATAGTATAAAATAATTGTGAACTACGCGCTGGTATACAATAAAAATATAAAAGGGCCCGCGACAAACTTACATTGACCGCAAAGGGATACTGTGTCATAACTTACATTTACCAGCGCAATCTAGAGTTTATTGAAGTAACGCAGTTTTGGACGGAGGGGTTATGACGGCATCTTCCAACGAGACACGACACGGTTATAAATACCCATCCAACATTATTTTGATTCTCTCGCGTTCATTGCTTACTAGAGATATTCGATATGATGTGGATTTGATCCGATGAGTCTCCCAAGTAATTTCATAAAGTTCATTGAATATTTTAGGGAGCTTTAGATTCAGTTTGGATTATTGACAGGACAGGTTGTAACCAAAGCTGTAACCAAACCATCTTCTTCTTATAATTTTCTCCTCATTCCATGTGACTTCTCTGTTCTTAACTTCCGGTCAACGAATCCGTTTTATCCCCTGTGAATTCGTCCGTTTCGTTGTGTAAGTTGCGAAATTTTCCCCATCGTTTTATCGAGAGTAACATAATATTTAACTTGGTGAGAATTGTCCCATGAGTATATTTCTCTTGTTTGAGGATTGTAATCAATCATAACGTTGTACCTTAAATAATTGAGAATTGAGAAAAGTCGTTTTGAAACTAGAACTAAAAATCACTAAATTAACCTAAAACTCCAAAATTCAAATTGATACGATAGAAGCCATATTGTGGTTAGTTATATCTGAAATACCTGTGTTGGTTAGCAAAGGGTATGGATATTCTTTTCAACTTCTTTCTGAAGGTATCGAACTCGTAGTTCAGAGAAGCATTTGCCGCATCGTATGAATCAACTGTGTATAAGATGCCGCATGCCATGAAGGCGTTGGCTACTGTGCGTTTCTGAAAAAATAGTTGGAATAATAAGGTAAACGTTTATTACCGCTCAATAAGAAGTGGTGAATACAAGCCTGCTCACCATAAGAAAACTACACCACCATTTTATAGTTCCGAGGGATATATATAGCTAAAAAAAAGTATATCCTACCATTTTAAAACATAAGTGAAGAAATAAAATAATCATAAATGAAGTATAGCCTACTGCCAGAAGCTGTGAACAGGTTGAATATTTAACAAAATGTTATCGTCAAACTGAGCATTGTTGGGGTCTGTTAATATCAAGTTGGCCAACTAAATAACACCAACAGTTGCATCGCGATTCTAGCCAGCTATTTCTGCCGTCAGCGAAAGTGCGACGCTAAACGCTGATATTTTTGAGTATCGAACACGCCGCATACACGATAATATGTCATGTTGCTGATACCGCATCTCAGACAATCTGCACTTACATTGTAGGCATCACGCCACAATTGCGACATAACTTGACAGTTAGAACAACCTTGCTAGTGTGGGTAATTTATAACGTTTCGGAATGAATCAACGACAACGACAGAATTTCGCTGGTGTGCTTAGAGACCATTTTAGATATATTCGAATGAGGACATCAGCGTGAATGCTTTTGACGCTTTGTACATTTTAATAAGGTATGTTTCGACATAGCATACCAGAGCAAACGCATCCATCAGCCGATGCTTGGATACCGATACGCTTTAAATACTATTAGCGAACGTTCGTTTTCAAATAAAATAAACCCACAAATGTTTCCATGGTAATATTACATCATTCCACGGACGAAATTTTTGAGTCAAGGGCACTCTACGTTGCAATCAAAAAACCATTTGTTTGGAACACGCCTTTTCCACAAAGGGTATCAATAAACATCCACACCCACTGGAATTTAAAAACAATTTGCGTCTCCACGCATTATGCGTGATACTAGACGTGAACGGCGTCGCAATTTGATTGAAACCCACCTTTGTGTGCAAACAATTTGCAATGTAAACCTCGTTTCTTCACATGAACCGTGATTATTAAACCACAAGTCGATTTCGTTTTTGAACTGATTTCTATGTCGTCAATAATCAGCTTCAACAAAGTGTCGAAGTATGTTTGCTCATGTCTAATGTTAAGTATTTTTATACATATTTAGAACCAGGTATTTACACTTGTGAGTGTCGTTACAAGTTTAACAAGTCATGTACGCCCTGATAATGGCCATAAATAAAGTGCTGAATATACTCACAAAGTTGCTATTAAAGAATTTACGGCGATCCAATAGTGTGTGTACAAAAATGGAGGTAAGTAATTTTGTTCGCCTACTTTACATCAAGTTGTGTAACGAGGACTTAAACCTATGGGTAGGGCAGGGGGTATATTCACTTGGCTAACACAGACAGTCCCCGGACTCGTATTAGAACTAAAATAAAGAAAATCGGAATAAAATTACGGCTTAACCCTAACCTGGTACACGCACTACGGGAGTACCGAATTTACCATATAAAGGTATTTTTAGCAATATAAAATCATGAAACCAGATACAAATTATTTAGTTTGATAAAATTGGTGATCTCCGGTAAAATATTATTCAAAGAAATAACTCACGGGTATAGACGTCTTCATTGTCATCAACGATCGAAGTGATACCGGATTCAATCTTGATACAACAATGTTACCATCGTTTTGTCTTGTGCTAAAATTTGATATAACTTTCCATGTAACAATTGAAGTACGCTATATATGATAACGATTTTATAAAATGGCGGTGAAAGTAGATTACTCACGCAAGGATTTAAAACGTGTAACATGGCATCTCGTGTTAAGGCGCCTTGCAAGTTATATGCTTCGTAAAATAAAATTTCTAAACTTCTCCTACACGTTCCCATTTTTAGCAGCAATTCTCATGATTCGAAAAAATACAATACGTTTTCCGCAATTTTTTTTTTCAATACACAGTAGATACAGGGCAACTCATGATGCTTAGAGATAATTTGAGACATCGATGAAATTGAGAGTCTTTTCTTTTTTTGCACTAAAATTACTCAGTAATGTGCTGCCTTTAGACTTAAACATTAAGGATATTGTTTTAAAGTATCTGAAATCACATGCATACCTATATATAACCCATAGTCCAAATTCATCAACTGCCAAATCTATATCGGTGAAACCTCCCCATTGATATGCAAACATTCCGTGAAATCCTGCATGATGTACTGGTCGCTCACGCATCACCCTTCTTGTTCGTAAATCATACCTGCAAATAATTATTTAGATTGACTGACCAGTCCGCTGATGTCTCATTCCCAAATTAGACCCAAAGAACTGATTTTTTAAATGGAAGAAGTATTTTTCCATTGCAAAGAGTGGATATTTATTTATCTCGGATGATCGACAAAAGGGTTGAAAGCTACCTCAACTATATTTATGATTTCAACATTGTTTCTTAATCTTTCGTTCCATCTTTTACAAAGATAGCACGTGACTTCGATTACAAAAACTTGTGACAGTACAGCCACATGTTTCAGTGAATGACGACAATTTCGTTTTCACGTCACTTTGTTAAATTCGAATTTCACATTTGTTGTCCAAGTTCCAATGTATCCTCAAATACCCACATCGTGTAACAAGTGGAACTCATGCATGGCACCGGTACCAATTCCACGAAATAAACTGAAATTTGATAGTAAATTTCTTTTTCTGTTTTATAAGCTTATTCTTTCCAGTTTGTTGCGTAGACATTTTTTTTTTTGAAAAGATTAAGAGGTGCCGACCTGCTCATCTTTAAATAAATTTTTAATTGCAGACAACTATTTATTGACAAAATTTGAATGCCAAAACACTAAAAATAAATATGCAATAGGATTACCTGACAAGCTTACGAGAATTCCGTCTTTGATAATAAAAGCTCCCATTGTATACGACCCCACCCGTGCTTTCAACGGGTATTGTGAGGGCGATAATTTGTTGGGGACGGTTGAGTATATACATCTGAAGACTTTCGTATTGCTTCAGCTGAAAGTGAGTATTAAAATATTGATAAATACAGTTACAAATTTGTATGTAATCATGTTTTATACAAACACATGTAATTGCGAACTTATTTAGGGCAGACTATGTGTAGAATAGCACTCGCGTAAGTATTGGTTAAAACACTAAACTTAAAACCGTTAACCAGACCTTGGATGCCATTAGTCTTCCCACGTAAAAGAAGGTTGAAGGCAAAAGCATCAAAGCAAAACCACCCCTTGGTGTAAATTTACGTTAAAAGAGATTAAAAATGGCAGACATCGTAAGTTGTCGTTATTATGTTGCACGACTTGCACCACAGTCCTCTCCACATATATATTCTGAGCTAAATCTCTGTAGTTAAGCGCAGTCTAACCCGCAGACAACCCATGAAAGCTAAGTGGAGTCGACTCGATAAAACACTTGCAGCCAGATTGACGAGCACTTTACGGTTTAGATAAAGGACTGCGGTTATCACCAAGGTCTGGGGTTAAGTAACGAATTTTCGCGTCTGAGTAAAGCGATGTATTTTTGCAGTTTTACACCAATGAGACGATTGACGTATGGAAAATAATGGTTCTGCGCATTCAAAAATATTTGACGGTCGAGTCTAATATAAAATTCTTGTAAAAATAACGCCGCAGCGTTACTAAAAAACATCTGTCGCGAACCGCCTTTTTCAAATCTGAATTGTCCTCAACTGTAAGAATTTACATCTTTCCAGAAGAAAAATGATCATTAATAGAATGCAAATTCAAGTTACATAACACCAAATAAATAAAATTCTTGACTCTGCAAACATACCACTTTGGCTCTTTCTTTTGTTGTGTCAATCGACCACACTATGCCTTTCCCCATTGCTTCTAAGGGATCCGTCATCCAAACACCGTATTTTTCGAATATACGATTCGAATACGATTGCGGTCCGCGAACGGTTTCCGGCATCGAAATTGATGTTATTCTGCCGCAGTCTGAAAAATAGCAAGTGAATAATGAGAGCAATTATAGATTTAATTTCATTTATTGAAGTTTATACTTAAAACGAAGTCCAATTCAAATATTAATTTCTCAAGATAATCTAACCAGTTCAGCAAATATTTATTGAAAATCCTTGCATAAATTGGTCTTATAGATGATACCTTGTGTAAGATATTTAAAATAGAGAAGTTTAGTAATTAGACCACAGGTACCATTCCATTGTAAATATGCATACTGTTTTATATATGCAAAAGAATTATTAACAATTTTAAATGATTCATATATTGAACATGTCAAGCATAGGGCTACATTGAAATTTCTAAAACTGTTTTCCTTATGTATGGTGTGAAACTGCGTATTTTTAATAATATCTATAACCTCTAAATTTTGTTTTTCCAAGTATAAAAATTAGCTTTCAATAATATGGGACAATGAAGTGCCTGTTGATACTCAAAAAATTTAGTCGGCAAATTTAACACAACGTTTTTCAACACGTCAACCACTCCTGTGCAATACTTTCTATCATCAACTTTTTAATTGGGCATTATGTAGTTTGCGCATCGACGGTTTCTTTGAAGCAAATATTCTATGTCTGTCACTCAAAAGATTAGGAGAATAAGCGTTTCATTTTAAAAGTAAGAAATGCAAGCCCGCGCGTACGGTACGACTCAGACAGTTTTTTTTGTCAATACATCTCTGCCAATGTAAAGATAGTTATAACCAGCAGGCATTTTCTCAAACTTAAACTAAATATTTTAGGTGATTGATGTTGCCATTGTGATCATATATAGACGACGAATTGCAACTATTACCTCAAACAATCGTGAAATATGGGAGCCAAAATACCAACCAAAGTAATAAATGCCTAGAAACGGATCTGAACAGCTATTTATTTGTATGAGTAGAGTGGCATGAAATTGTCATGTTCCTGAATATCATTCTCTAGAATTTTGAGGTATACGAATTTCGCTTAGTTTAGGTTCAAATTTAAAGTCACCTCCTTAGGTGAAATTCTTACCAAAATTCGAGAACTTTCCGCTTCATAAACCGAAGTGTGATTAACAAAATGTCTGTTGCCGACATGGGTCAGAAACAGCTTTGTTATCATAACAAACAGAAAGGTGTCAGATACGAATAATCTCCTTTTCCACACCTACAGTTTGCCCTTAGCTGAGCTTTAATGTAACGATAGCTTCATATAACAGAAGACATAACACGAGAACGAACGGGTCAATTTGATGTCGAAATTTGTTGAGATGTTTTAAAGCATGATAATATGCGCTACATGGTTCTCTGATTCAGTGTGTTCTATCAATAATATATCTTAACTTAAACATGTCAAGTTTACCTAATCAGTACATTATATTTAATTCTCAGACTTCTCTCAGCGATAGTGCAAACACTTCATATACAAGCAAGCATTCCATTTTAAAAGTTCCATGATATTAATATTTAAGGCATATTATAAGATAGGTTGCAAGGCTTTTTTGTTAAATCCAAACGCTAATGGCACCATTATATTATTAACTTTGAGATTTCGTTCAATAACTGCACTCAAATTTTCCACACAGAAAGCGCTTTATCAAGATCACAGATCGAACCTATTGCCCTATTACCGAGACAAACAAATGTGGTATAAATTTAACACAGCAATTTATTTGTAGCAATTTATTGTGAAATTTATAAATTATTTAACAAATATTGTGGAATGTTATAAAAGGCATGCTGCATTTGACTGGAAATAAACATTCTGTGTTGCTGCACAAAAGAATTAAATCTAAAACACTGTCTTTTTGAAAGCTCAATAGTCAATAGTGGAGTTTTTTCAGATGGCTATTTGAATCATAGTCGATCTTACTCATTTAAGCAATACAATATACAACAAGACATTATATAAAGTGATCTACGATAAAGCAAACTTTGGACACAGTAGAATGATAAATTGTCGAATATGGTGGGAATTTAAAACGTTAGGCTGTTTAGAAATCGGATGTAGGGTAGGATCTTCCTTATTTTCCCCACTTGTTTCCCGCAATGATCATTTTCTGAAGTCTCTCAAACACACCGTCATAGACACAGTTTAATATCGGAAAAGAATATTAACTCACAATATAGCTAAAGAATACATCCGACTTGTTGAATGCAAACAACGCTGATTTTTCACTTTCATTCAAGTTGGGTTGGGCGGTACATACCTAACACCTATTTAGTCACGTATAAGTTTGCGCCACTCGACATTGCACACTTTATAAATACTTGAGTACATAAAGTATGCGGTAGAATATCATACCTAATTACCTTGAAGCATTTCCGACACACAGGTGCAGGAAACGGACGTAATTTACTTAGTGCGACCGCAATAGAGCTAATTACATTTGCTTTGCCACATGCGCTGACGATTCTGTTTTCATAATAACTTTATCGTAAGCTTGGTCTCGGTTGGTAATTCAGGTTTGGTGATAATTGTCGATATGCTGAAGAACTTTAAATAATAAACTAATTCTCCTCTAACAGTGAAATTGCTGACAAATATTCGATCTGAATTATTTTCTGCGATTTCGATTGTAGTTCTAGTCAAAAAAAAAAAAAAACATTGTTTCACAGCTTCATTTTATTTGAACCATGTGCATATTATATCATATTAAGCTGTTTGTTTAAACTGACAATATAGATAGGTCGTTGTTTTGCAATTATTTTTATAACCTGATTATTGTGAAATATGGATCGTTTTGCTAACTCGTTGTTGTTGTTGTGTGGGTGATTTTTTGTGCCAGCAAAAATTGTTTATGAAAGTAGTCGAAGTCTGTTACTTTTATTTTATTTTTAATTTTTTTTTACGGGTGCCATGCCCCCACGAGATCCGATATTCCGTCAAAAATTTTGCATTTTTATTTCAACTCTGTCACGTCTGTCCTTCATTTTGAATTTGCGAACTCGGTGCTCTGTCGCAGAGTTTACCGGTATTGCGGTTAGTCACCGAAACCTTCGTTTTTTTATATTTAAGCATTGCCTTCCTGTTTTCTATGTCTGTTACTAATTATTGTTGAAAGGTTTAACTTTATTTAAGATCATCCAGTCCAGTCACTATATGATAAATAGTAAATACTTACATGAGTAATCTTGATCATTCATTCTGCGAACACCAGACGTGTAGACAGGTAAATCCTGACCTGAAAATATAAAAGTATATAAGAAACTTGATATATATATATTCGAATTAAATAACCGTTAAAATTAATTTAAAATGAGTTGATGTGTTGGGATTACGGCAACCAACGCAATTTCATTAACTCTTCCTGAATCACATATATTTGAAGTTCGTTCGAATTTCAATCAGTGCAAGAGTCTCGTAAATTAGCTGTGGAGTTGATTTCGTTATTAATATTTGCAAGCCGCGTTTGGGTATTTTAAAAATAATATTTTTCATAATGTTGAACTTAAATTTAATAGAATTTACAACATTACTTTTCTTTGCTATAAACAAAGTTTCCAGTTACGAAGTCGCAAAGCATCATGTTGTCATGTGATTGCCAAGTACAATATATTATTACCAATTGGTAACACATTACTCATTATTTCATTTCGGTTTCCTAAAACTTTAAACCAATTAAAGAAATTTTTGTATCACTTCAGTACGATGTTTTGGCGATTTACGTAATCAAAACCAGTATGACGTTATAAACTACGATCTTGAAATCAATCCAAAGTGTGTCTAATATGAATAATCCGATTCATTGTCAAAAATTCACCAATGATATACGAATTAGTCATATCTTTGCTTGGGAGACTGCTAGGGGAAAACACGACGAATTGTGAATTGCGATGCGCTGCAAAAATAATTTTCGTAAAAGTTTTTCATTGCGCGCAAAAGCGAATCTTCCAATACTGCTGCAGATATTGTGTAGTGTTTAACTTATCTATCTAATATGTGACAATTGGACTTGGTCCCAATACGAAATCATTACCATTTTCACACTGATGATTTTATTTTAGCGTTATCGCAAAGGTACTTTAATAAAAAAAATTCGGAATTATAACAACAAAATTGATTAATGTTCACAAGCTGTTACTAAAGTAAAAATTTTCTGGAGTTTAGATAATGTTATTTTTTATTCTGCATTTGGCAAGAGTTTTTGAAATTTTATCTTCGGATCAACAAGAGTAAATATCATCATTGTCGCAATTGATGCGCTTTTCTCCGACCACCCCGTTGAATTATAAAGCCTTGTTTAGAAAAACGCCTTCGCCTTTGTTTGATCAATCGTTTATCTTTGTTTCTGAAGCTTTTCACTGGATTGCTCTCCAGCTAAACCAAAGTAAATAAACGATTGGCTGCCTGAATAGATTTGCACAAATCATAACCATGATGAATTTAAAATATCGACCAAGCGGGCATTCCTTAAATTTTCAATTTTGTAGCGGATGTTTCGTAATATAAAAGTGATGGCTATTAGGTATTAAATGAGTCTACATTACAGGTTATATATGATTGTCAGAAATTATAATTTCAATATAATATTTATAATAATATTTTCTGCACCACTTTTTCTGAAAATATTATATAAATAGTGCTAGTTCGTTTTTAATCAAAGCAAAGCTCTTTCAATGATTACTGTACCTTACTGACACAAAATGAAAATTTGAGTATGCATGGCGTACAGTATAAGTAAAATAAACAACAGATGTATGGCGTATTTGTAGGTTCGTTCGTTATAATAATTTTAAAGAAATGAAAAAAAAAATTTCCTAATAACCATTCTCATTTTAGGCAGTTTACCCACTTATGCCGACTGATGAAATTAAATAAAATGGAAGTCAAGTACGATGAAATTTTATCGTAACGCATTCTACACTTTTCACGCTTTGTAGCGTTCACTCTGATAAATGTTGGCGTTTCAGTAACATGGTGTTATTTTTTGTACAATTCACGATATTTTGTCAGATAGCTAATATGCTATAAGCGCAAAATAAGGATGCAGTAGTAACCAGATTTTATTTCCCAAATTGCACTTAAGAAAAAGTTGGTTTCGTGTATTTTAACAGCAAATACTTTTTAAGCACAAACACAATTTCTGCAACCTTTACTGTGATCTAATTCTGCCAAACAACATGCTTTTAATTATATAATGATCAATATGTTGTTAGTACAAAATTTCCCATGTCTTGTTTTAGTAGATAATTACCATTTTAGACAATTATGAAAATTGGATAAATGCTTGCATGGTCTCAAAATTGCAAAGTAGTTTTTCATTGAGTATTTGGGAAACCTTACAAGGCGGGATAGTTCAGAGTGGAGACATTATGTTTGTACCGCAAACAAACAAATAACAAAGCGGAATAGAACGGGTTCCTATTCAGCTCAGTAAATAATTTTCTCGTTACACACTTTCAAGATTGAATCATCGCTGTACCTTACCAAAATAGCGAGGATTACATATGAATCATTCTTGATAAGGTATTGTTTCCAACTGAGATAGGGAGCCCGACACAAAACTATGGTAAACGTTTCGCAAGTAATCTCTAAAATATTAAGATTTTTTGTTTGTTGGTTTTGTAACAAAGTCGAAGGAAACCATACTCTGGATATAAACAAAGTCGAATTCTTTGGAGAATGGGATTTCAGGGTTTACGGAAGTTCTGCTTTGCTACCGGTTTTACTTCAATAACGCGACACAAGAGAAAATTCTAACTTCGAATTTCAAAATATTTTGTCGACTTGTCCGTTAGTGGTTAACATAATCGATCGATCAGATGTTATACAACCCACACTACATATTCACACATTAAAACTCAAGCTGGTGTTTGGACTAACACTTAAAACATAAATACAAGGCCAACCCATTATGCGGGAAAGCATGTTAGGACTGACTCGTTTAAATTCTGATGTTTTCCGATTTAAATACTGTTACTTAGCAAATGATTGTACAGCAGTGTTATATGTTAGATACAAGTTGTAATACGTACATATGACAAAATTTATTGCCTAGTCAGAGAGATCTACTAAACCCAGGCTAAGCATTGCGATCAAATCAGATTTAAAGACAATAATAAGGTACTTGAGTATGAAATCTTCCATGCGTAACGATTTATAAATATATTATAAATACGCTCATTAAGTCACCTTGAAAATGGCGTGCTACGGTAGTTGACTTAACCTTTTTTGTATCGTAAATACCATTCAATTTCACCATCCATATCCAGAAATGTTAATGTTGACGGAGTACTGAACTGAAGTGTATATTTAAGCAAAGCATCCCATAGTTACCAAGAATTCGGTCATGCAGCGATGCGGGGCATGTATACCTCAGTCATTTTCATTGCTGATATATGTGATAATCTTGAGCGTTTTGCAATGTGATGATGATTGATGTACGCTATTATTTACAGTTTTAGCTATCCTCTGGGACACGTTAGAGCGTCGGTGGCACGCGTTCGAGAGATCGATCATTGTATTGTATATCACAGACCATCGAAAACATTCACAATAATATTATCATCACAACTCTTGAATACGACCATATTCACACAATAATGTATTCGTGTGAATATGATTAGGTATACTATACTTTATAAAGGTATGTTTGTTCGCTTCTTCGTGTCCGATATTGCACGCGATGTGAATATATTATATTGTATATACTTTCAGTGTATTTTCTCAGCCTGTCGGCGGCTATTCAAAGCTCCGATTCAAATAAATCATATCATGTCAAAAACAAAAATAACCAAAAAGACTAGTTTTCAATGATATCTTCATATTTTCATCCTAACTTTTTTAATTTGGACAGAATAATTCTTTAATATGTATTCCTTAAACTGCTTTAACATAATTGACCTGTATGACTGTTATCGAAGAGCTAATGTTTTTAAGTTAGCAGTTAAAATTACCACAAAACGCTGACGATGGATATAACCAAAAGAAATCGTAATTTCTGAATAAAATTGGATCTTCAGTTGTCTAAACCAAATGTGAACATTCTTAATATATATCACAACTAGTTAGGAATATTTAATAACTTTTTTTCTGCAAAATAATTCAATCAAACATCTTGCGTGCGAAGTAGATTCGTGTATGTTCAAGTCCATCGAATTGATTCCATTTCATCTTCGAGAGAACAATACTTTTCATAAAACCGAGGTTTATTTTATTCACTTAGAAAGGATCAAAGTTATCTCAAGTGGCTCGACTCATATTACAAGATTTTTTCAATAAGAAAGTAACGAGGTAGTCGATCAGTTTGAGATTTCGTTTTGGGATTAAATTTACATTAAACTTGGCGGGTATCGTGTTACAATAGTACGCGCGATAACAACAATGCTTTCATCAGATTAAACTGTATCGAGTGGGAAACCACATACAATTTTGGGCAATTTTAAATCAGTTTTAAACCCAAGCAAGATTTGATAAGGCTTATCATATGCAGGATTTCTACAACCAAACCAGGTTTGAAGCCTAACTCGTCAAACGAATAATATTTTTATAACGTAATAAAAACTATTTATCACGCACACATATTTTTATAAGCTTTGGGACCGCATTTTTGGTCTAGAGAATCTTTCAGACTTTTAATAACCATGCATCATAGATATTTACTCGTAGCACCAGAGCGTGAAAATTTATAAAAAACAATCTATATCATAATGTATGGGATGAATATGATGTTGTATTAGCTAAATTATAAATATTATTTTAATTAGAATCGAATTTTAGAGGCCAAATTTTTGTATAACAATACACCATAATGATTATTATATGAAACCAATAATATGTTGCCCCGCCATATTATTTATAGTTGAGTGACTTTTCGGCCCAATGGTGAGCTTAAGGCCGGCGGACACTACTAATTACAGATTTGGAACTATAATGCAAATGGCTGTATAGAAGTATCAATAACACTCCTAACTAAATTGAAATAGAACTCTTGAAAACACAAACTTATTAGGTTTAATATTTTTCAATTTCTGTTTTTTTTTGCAAAAGAAATGAAATTTATATGACGTAATCTCACCTCCAGACGAAAATATTGTATCGCGTGCTATTTCCTCTTGAAGTAGTTTAATTCTTGATGTAGCATTTTCTAATTGTTTCTGAAATGATTAAATGCCATTAAGAAATTCGATATATCACTAATATTCACCAAATTCTGTAAATCATCGACAGTTGATAAAAACTTGACCAATGATACGATTCTTATTTCTATTTAATATATTGTTTCACCAAGCGGCGCTGAAGTGTTAATTGCGGTGTACACGCAAACCACAGGGATTCAGCCCTACAGTGTTCCAAGACAAATTAAATACGCAGATTAGGCCAAGTTAGACCTGAGCAGCTGTTTCTACATCAGTCATAATCTTTTCTGAAAGGGCAAGTTTACTTTGGAAGACAGAATAACCCACCATCAGCTGGGAGTTGTTTACAACCAAAATTTTATTCTTTTCTTGCTCAAGTTCAATCTGTTGTTGTAATAATTCTCCTTTCGCCGTTAATTTATTGCAATTCTCAAGTGTTCCACTGAAGTTATGTACACGCATCTAAAAAAAATATACACATAAAAATGGTTTTGCAAAAGCATAACAAAGAACGTGAAATAACATCAATCAAAAAAGTGTTATGTTGCAGATGACGTATATAGAAACCATAATTATGAACCACAGGGCATGATTGACTTTAAGCGGCAGTTCATAAATTATCATTATAATTTTGGGAATCTCGCTTCACAAAACTGCAATCTGCAAGAAAATGCATTCATTGTAAAGTTTTTACTTGTTTTATCTCGAGTGGGAGGGTCGCTCAATTCAAATACATTTCTTGTTCAGGCTTTTGCTTTCATTACTCAATCTTACCGGTATACGGATACTAAATGCCATTCCAAACAAGATAGCTTAACATTTTGTAGATAGCGTTCAAATCGTGAGAATTGCAATAATAGTGTTCGTCAATTTGTGCGAGAAACAGAAAACTATTCAAAAATTTGTTTGTGGGTATTATTCGCGGTTCTGTGACGTTAGAATGCGTTGTGATTCACGCAGAAAAATTGGCTGAGAGATAGCATCTAATTGCGATCTTTGACAGAGCGCGAGTGAACATGTCAAATGACAAACGAAGTTAAACTTGTTGTTGAAGATATAATGCAACTTGACTGTGAATTTTGATTTTTTTGTTCATTCAATCTACGGAGCATTAGTCACAAATTTTGAAATGTGCATACTTATTTTGCGGCAGTATAACTCGCAAAAATACGAAAAGATCCAAAATAAGTCAGAAAGGTGATACGGAAGCCAGAAGTTGACCATTAAAGTACAATAAGATAATTAGTTATTTCTGACAACATACTCGAAACAAAATGATGATATAGTGTGTTCGTTGGAAGAACCAAACAAAAGCGTGCAGTGAAAAATGGCGCTCAGTAATGTTAAGTTATTCTCGAAATATTTATGGTGAAGGGATGTGATATCAATTTTTTACTGAACAATGCAATTATCACACGGTTATTATTGAATGCCTTATTGTTACAAACCTTCAACACATCATTCGCAATTTCTAGTTCACTATGCTTTCGTTGCCAATGGGTGGCTGTTCGCGACAACTGCTCTTTTTCAGTTTCAAGCACATGAATTCTCTTTCGGAACGACTCTTGGACAGTTTCCAATTTGGCTTTATGAGATCGCAAGGCTTCATTTTGTAAACTAAGTGACCGGTTCGAATTACATAGCTGCATATATTTGTCCTTTTCTTTTAGTAAATTCTTCTCTAACTCAGACTTTGAGCTTGCCAGATTCTTCCTAGCTGCTGAAGATCTTCTGAGAGTAAAGATGAGGTTTTTATTTTGTTTCCGTAAATCTTCACGTTCTTTCTCTGATCTAACTATTCCCTTTTCTAATGTTGCCAGTTGTTTGATCATTTGTTGTGCAATTTCTACCAAACTTATTGGCTTAGTTTGTGTAGATTCGTCGGGAGAAGTTGTTTGCCCAGGCATTTCCATATTGTGGGCGACGACCTCGGTAATCATGCTGCTATCTCGCTGAATATTCTCACTTTGTTGTCCCGCCGTTTCTCCATATACTGTCCTTTCCAATTTTCTAAGTCGTTCTGAATATTCATCTAATATATTTTTCGATTGCTGCATTGGAAGAGTTGTTCTTGCCACATGATTGACGGCAATTTCTGTTGTCGTATGTGTGCAATGGTCTGCATTTTCAACTGTAAATATATATTGACATGTTCTTCCTGATTGTCGCGCGTTTGAAGATTGCTGTCCTGTTGTGTAAAAAATATTTGAGTTCCGCCTACTTTGTTGACCCATTAGGGGACGATTTGGTCCCACACCCGGACGAGCTGGTTGGTGTATGACCTCAGAACTTGCGACTTGACCATATTGGTCTGGAGACATGAGAAGTGTTGTGACGGGATCTAAATTGCGTTTGAAGAATATTTTTTATCACAAGTTAATTGCATAACATCGTGTTTCATAAAATAAAAGTTCATTCTTACCCCCATTATGTACGTTATCTGTTAGTGCAGTTGTTGAAGGTCCCTGAGGCGCTGTCGTTTTGAAGTTTTGGTTAAATGAAAGTGGCCTGTCTAATTCGTCGACAATATTGCTGCTATCATCGTCACCTACAATGTCTTCGGATTTTGAAATTGCCAAAGTTTGCATTGTCATTAACAGTATTGCTACCGACTTCGATGAGTAACGTAACAGCATACTTGCAGCAAATAGTGCAATTACTTCTTCAGTAAGCCAATTTTAATGGTGATAAGAAAATCAAATTTATATACCGCTTCAGTTAACTTCCTTTTGTCAACAAACTCTATAAACCTCAACGGAACAAATAGTAGTAACTTACATCTGGATATTAAAAATACTTTATGAGACCTTTATGTATACAAGCTGCTGCAATCATTTCCTCGGCCAAACTAAAAATACCAGGGGGTTCAACCAATGGTTGACGTTTCTTCAAATGATGTCGAGTGACGACGAAACGCTCTAGCAATCACATAACATTCTTTGGCTCACTTTCAGACAAAGCTATTTGCTGTCGCGTCTGTTAACATTGACGACTAACTGATAAACGCAAGATAACTGTTTCTGCGGATTTTGTTTCTCTTCATTCTCAGCAGATCGCCTTACAAACAGACATTGACTTAGGGATAACTACCCTTACGTTATCCATACGCAGTCCCGAAGAATGCGAGAGTATCGACATTACACGTAATTATTCCTATGCTTCACATGAGATGGCTTTTTACGCTTTTACCAGACAGAAATATTAACTGTCTTAGAAAAGTTCTCTACAAGTAAATGTACAAGTTTTGCAACGCAATGGGCAGCGATAAACCCGCTATGCAAACGTCGTCTTGTGTCTCATCAGGATTTCTGCCAGTAATGATAGAAATTCCTGAAGTGTTCTAAAGGCGCTCTGAGTAAACATACTGAAGACGTGCTTGATTTACAATACCGTCAAGCGATTTCGCGACAATTGCTCGTCATTTCTCGCGCGAGAGGAATTTGCCCTATAACGGTGAGAAGAAAGTGCGGTCTACGATAAAAAGACGTAAGGAATTTCGTATCGACTTTGAATAATTTGATTGACGTTGACGACAACGTCTGCGCATAGCAAATCCAATTTGAGCAGGTAGGCCGCGAGCCTTAGCGAAAGATAAGCTGGGTTCCGCTGTTCATTAACCCTTTCTACAAAACCAGGATTAGGAAATGCAGAGTTTACGAAACCTTTAACTTGTCTTTTCCTGGTTACATGTTTTATATTACAAATTTTAAATAACGCTGGCCGTAGGTTGCAACCCTGCGTTGAAACAACGTTACTAGACACAAAGTGTATATATGGATCTTTTGTATTATTATTATGTGTTGTTCTTGTTGGTATTTTTCTTACCATTGTTATGATAACCACTCATTAACCACTGAACCAATTGCTTAAAAATTTTCAATGGGTTGAAGATTGTATTTTTCTAGAATGTTACTTTTATTTATTTCCAAAACATCTGTGGGTTCTATGGGATTCATTTTCCGTGTGTGATGACGTCATAAAAACTTGCGCATCTTGTGGCGGTCCCGCTTTTGGGTTAGTAGTGAAGATTGTCGTACTGGCAGTCTACTGTTTCAGATTGCATACCCGTACTACTTTGCTCCAACTTTCGTGTTCGTATATTGGACATTACCAATGCTTTTTTGGCATTACCAATGCTGATTGTTACATTCTGGGAAAGGCAAGTTTCGATTATTCTGTGGATATGAACCCAAAATCTCGAACCTGTCATGTCGGCAAAGCCAGTCTTGGTATTTCATCGATCACAACTTTGGGTAATTTTTTCAACCAACAAAGATGGCCCAAATTGTCAATAACGCTAAAAAAAACTTTGATAATATATATTTTTATATTCATTAGGTTTGAGTCTGTGATGTGTTTATACGTGAAGAATAACATTTATAGCGCAAATACGTGTTAATCCTAGCATGTTATATAGTTCGTATTTTCCGCAATAACTAATGCAAATTGTGTAATAAAAAACACCTAACATGGTTTCGGTGTTAAGGTCAGTCAAGTCATCTGAAGCCGTTACTATACCGTTGACCATTTTTGCTCTTGTGTTCCGTCCTTTCAATAAACCTCTTCGAACGCCAATCCGCAATCTTTACTTCTCGACTTTTTTCCCAATTATCCAGAAAGAAATCGATTCTCCAATATATACCTGACTGTATCTAGTAAAAACTGTGTTATTATTTGCCCGATCTCAATTTTCACCGAATAAAACGTTCAAATACGATCAGTAACCTCTAAAACGGAAGCAAATGAGATTTACCGGTAGCTCTTTATTGACATACGGTGGTCAACTTTATCAATCAAATTTTTTTGAGGATGCAGCTATACACAGTACAACTCGTCACTGCATCTAAGAAAAATCTGCCTTCTTCCAAGTTTCCATAATTAATTGTATGTACGGGGTGCCCCCCACCCTTAAAAAAACATTAATTTTTAAATTACTACTGAATAAATAAATAAAATATGTTCAACGCCTGGACTTTGTTTGTGCACGATTCTACCTAAAAGTTATGCTCTGTCTATAATATGTTCTAAAATCTAAATAACCTTCATGGGTTCTGTTTATGGGGGCACTCTGTATTATGTAAATATAATTATCTCTTCATAGTAACCCGTCAACATATTTATTTTGGTATATATATACAATAATGGCTGAAGTATTGCTATACAATTATTACCGGGTAACTTCTCGATTGAAAGTTTTAGTATAGGAGTTTTCTGTATATGAGACAACAAATTGAAAAATTTGGTTCCATTACATTTGAACCCGTAATTTGAACCCACGATAATTGTACCCGCATACTATTGCACCTATATGGAAATATTTTTTTACGGTTATTGAACCCATACTAACCCTAACTAGGGATGGCGGAATCGAGTCTGGATTCGATTAAATAATCGATTCTCCGCGGAATCGACTAGAATCGATTCCGATGCACTGGAATCGATTCTCGAGTTCAAAACTTTGATTGCAAACAATATGTAACGTTTTGTGGCAATTCCTTCACATATATGTATAAACTGCTTCACTGCTATGTTTATAGTTGCTACGACGCCGCAAACTTCACTATATATAATATACCGTATATATATATATTTCGCTAGAAGGCTTTAACGTTTATTTATTTTAAAAATCTCTTTGGGTTCTGAGGGATTCGTTTTTATTGTGTGATTTTGTGATATTGCTCAGGTGGGTATGTTTTTTCGGTAATATATGTCGAGAAATCGAGAATCGGAATCGAAAATTTAGGAATCGGATAAGAATCGAATACTTGTAAGTACTCATACTTGACATACTTAGAGTTAGGGTCCCTAACTCATGGATTTTAGCACTCTCATATAGATTGAACCCGCGGATATACGGAAGCAAATGTATGAGTTCAAATGTACGTGGGTTCAAATGTACGGTCACCAAAAATTTTTGTATCTATTTTCATGCAACTTATCGCAAATTCACAGAACCTATATATTTCCACGGCGTTAAATAATGTAGATGAATGATAATATAGTAAAATATCAAAGGTATCAAGCATATTCAATATTCTATTCGCTTGGAGTATAGCAGAAAACACGATGATGGCACAGAAACTTGGCAACGCTGACACGCCTGATGAAAGTGTTCAAACTGTTGTCCAAAGTTGTTTGTTGTAATTTCAGAAAATATTCGATTTAATTAATTAAGGACATTAAATGCATTGTGCTTCACTTACGATGCACACTTACCGAATTTTCAAAATCAGTTACAACACTACCCAAGCAATCGATATGTTCTATCTGATTCTATAGCGGAGACTTCAGATGAACGCGGATTTGTTGTTCTCGCTTGTATAGATGCAGATGGTAATTGTGATGACGCAATTTTATAAATTTTTCTGTCCGTATTTGGGTAGCACTACCTCGACCTTACTGAAACCCGTTGAGCAATTTCAAAAAGAGAAACAAATATCATAAGTCCCAAATAGGGTCTTCTGGGAGAATTATCAACAAACGCGAATGTTTACTCCGATGAGTTTTTAAAGTCCATGGATAATACACAGCGCCCTTTCGTGTGAAATTTTCTTTTCTCCCGAGAGTTTCAGTTAGTCTGCTGGATAACGACTAGTTATTTTTAATGCATTAAATATAGATTGCAGACGGTCCACAGTAAAATAAGTTCAAAACAAGCGTAAATTTTTACCAATAACTCTTTATCTATTGAGTCGTATGCCATGCAACCGCATCCTCCCAAGCAACTATTATGAGTAATATAGTCTAGCTCAAACATTTCACACGAAAAAAAACTATCAAATATTGTGGCCAAAAATTGAAATGGGTGAAACTGAAAACAACCCCATATATTTGCGTAATGAAATGCAGTGTTGGGCACCCATTATGCGTAGGAAAGGCACACATAAAACATCTGACATAAACAACATGTACAAGCCAAATCATGTACAAACACAATTAACTCTAGTGATAATTTTGCTGCTGTTTCGTTTCCAATATAGGATTGCAAACGAGGCCTCAAAGAAGTTTCTGCAACACGTAGCTCTTCACCGGCGTGCAGCCGATTTCTTTGCTTCGTTTTAATTAAAGCTAGTTATGAAAATGTATTTTCGCATAACGCAGTAACTGGTTGAAAATACGGACAATAGAATCACAAATATTAATCAAGCTTTTTCTTTTTCATCGGGTTTATCATATTTATCCTTCTGCAGTTGATCGACGTCTCAACAGAAATGAAATTACAATGACAAGTTGTCGATAACTTGGCACCAGAATCAAAATTCTACTGTGCCTGCTCAAAATACTGGGAAAAATCTCTGTGGTCCATGCTTTTTGCACGTCTCGTGACTACCTGCAGGGCTGCAACAAGTTCTTGTCTCACTGGAATATTATACTGTTCTTGACAGTTTTCTGGTTTAAACAAAGATATATGCAACGTTTTATGTAGATGGTCATATTAATCAGGAAAGGGACGCAGAACAGAAAAAGCATGCGTGCCAATTTTTAGGTTTCGGAATCTTGGGAGATTCGATTGAGCGCATTCGCAATGAATTGGAGCCGAAAAAGCGAAAAGTGTGATTACCCCCCGCCAAGATGTCGCGGAAGACGTCGCCACGATGTCGCAATATGACGGCGAAAATGAACTTGCGTAATAAACCAACGCAACCTCGTCTTCGGTAAAGCAACTAAACAAAACAACTAAATTTGCTCGCGGACCGGAAAAAAGCTTCGCGGACCGGCACCGGCTGTTGGGAACCACTGGCCTAGCTAGTGCCATCACTTGTTTTAAAGCGGCCTATGAAATCGAGTTTCAGCAGTTTTGTATATATTTTCCAAAACGCAGTACATTTGATTCAAATAGCCTCGTGCGTGAGTGAAACTTTGCATTGTTTCCCACTTGGTGACAGCCGCGCTCCATTGGTCGTTACAGGTATGAGAACTGAATTTAGCAAATGTGGGTAATTTGTTTACGTATAGAGAGTTGAGAGTAATATTGTGATGAATAATATATAAATTATTATCGTCTCACTGGAGTTTCACCTGATGAATGGTTATTTAATATTGGAAAATGTATTGCTTTTAGTGTATCATGTGACCCTGAAGATGATGTATTTTATATCCAAAACATTCGAATCAGGAAAAGTATATGAAAGTATTCATAAAAAGTTGAACCTGATGAAATTTATATTTTCTGATACACCAAGGAAAAATGGGCAGAACTGATTTTTTTGGAGAGTGATTTCAATTGGAATGAAATATATATAGATATTTATTTTATATACTATTGAAACTAAATTGCAATCTTTTCATGCGAGGAGGTTCCATGGTGCAATAGTACTAAACGATAGATTGTATAAATTCATATAAACTTGTTACATTAAAGTTATGTGATTTCTGTAACTCTAATGTTGAAACTATCAGCCATTTATTCTATGATTGTATAGTTAGTTGTTTAACAGTTTTGGGAATCTCTAAACACGTGGATAGATTCAAAAACAGAAGTAAATTTTACCTTTTCCAAAGGAGATTGTATGTTGGGATATGCTAGTAATTTTTATAACAAGTTGTGTAATTGTATTCTCCTTGCTGTCTGGTTTTATCTATATCGTTGTAAAAATAAAAATGAAACCACTGTTCAATGTTTTTATCACATATCTGTATCAAGTGAAGAAAATTAAACGGTGCATTGCATACAAAAATGGCAAAACAAAAAAAAAACATGGAAAATGGAAAACTTTAAGATATATATATATGCACAATAATTGAATGTCTATATATGATAATGCATGTGTATTTTTTTATGAATATTGCCGTGACTGTATCGTTCAACTGTGTTATATATATTAATAAATATATATAAAAAATCCCCTCTCATTAAATTATCTGGGAAAATGTTGGGTCTCGACATTGCGGGAATGTTTGATGTTTGAAAAAAATCATCCGAACCAGTATCATTCATTTGATATGTAAGCGTTTTTAACCAAATTTATATGAATCTGCTTATCATCGAATTCACTTGACAGGATTGACACGGATAAAAACATTACGTAAGTTACACTTTTTGTCGTATCATTAGTAGTTCTTTTGTACAGAATTACTTTCTATATAGAATATATAAATGGATTTACAATCTCTGTTCATAGCCCGCGGATACACTTCGAATCTTGGTGCGTCAGCAATGAGATCCCTTATCATCAGTAAATCGAAAATCGTTTAAAATCTCACCGCACATGACAGTGTTTAAAATTACATTAGCTTTGTATGATTTGTATAAAGTCTGCCGACGATAAATGGCTCGAATCTTACGTTTTTTCCCCTTATCATCGAACTGATTTTTTCAGATGCTACAATCTGTCTCTACTATTGGGAGTATAAGATAGTGGTTTTGTAAAAGCAATGAAATTAGTTCTTGAAAATAAAATTTACTGATAAAAATTTGAAAAGATTCATATGCACAATTCCCAAGTTTCAGTGTTCGTCCAACAAACCCCGTATATACAGAAATATTTTTCCAAACAATTTATTGCTTTAACGATGTTTGCTCATTGTATAATTGAAAGGTGGTAAAACATGAATTTATCGTCCAACGTGTCTAAAACCGGTTAGAAATCACGTTTCCATAATAAAACCATAACGTTATCATCGTGCGTTACTGCGGTAAACCTATACTGCTGTGAAAGACATACTAGAAAAATTAACACGCTCAACAGCTACGCCAATTAATAATAAGAAAGCTGTGCAATGAATAAACCTTTTTTGGAAGCCAAGTGTTTTGTCTATTTTGCGTTTATGTAAAGTGTGAATCATGTTCAAGTAATCTGATGATTCAGTATAATATTTTATGCAAAATCGACAAATACAAAGAGTTCATTCCGAGCGACTGTCGTTCACAGTCTGTGGTCTTAAACACTTGCCATCAAAGGCAGACATAAAAAAGTGTAAAATTTAAACGACTATAGATTTCATATAAATATTTTGAGTCAATGAAACATAATTCAAGTTACTCTTCTCTCTGGATCTGCTAAACGACCTATGTATATTATAGTGTCCGTAAACTTGTCGTATATAAGAAATAAGAATGGTCTATCGACCCGAAAGTCCCATTCTTGCGTTGCGTTTGCTACGTGATCTTTTCTAGGATCAAGTCTCGTCACGCTGCCTTGTGTGCCAAACTCGTCAATCTGAAAATGATACCAAGAAGTCGATTTTAAACAAAAAACAACTGATTTCATGACCTGCCAGTACTGCTGGTCTGGTATTACTGGCTGTCGCATTTTATGATTCGATCGCAGGTGTGAGTTCGACTATTTTATATTTACCCTTCTTGGGATTCTTCGGAGTAATTTTTTGAAACCTCAAACGGTAAAGAGTAAATTGCCAATTGTTCTATTAATTACTGGCATAAACGTAAAAGTTTGCCGTTAATTACCTCGAATTTTGCTTTGTGTTGAATATGTGTTACATGAATTCGCCTTTTTTCATCTTCTTCACTGACTGCTCCATATAACCTGGATTTTTTGCCATGAAAGATTTCTCTCACACCCATCCGTTTTAGAAAGAATTTTAGTTTGTGTTCGCCGAACAGTGAAAATTTTGGAATGTGTATACGGATCTAGAAACAGAACTAGTGAATATGATTATCCATATAAAACATTAGGTTACATACATTTACATTTAGTTGTATAATGTTTAATAAAGTGAATTCTAATTTAAGAAAATCTTCATTTGGAAATATTTTATCTACAGCCTTAGATCTTCACATGGTAAAATTATGTACTATAACAATGAGATCATTGATACATCCCATCAGAAATTACTATTTTCCTCTAATTGTTTATACAGTATGATTACCCTATCCTTGATTATAGAAATTACGTAACGTCTATTTTCATTATTGATAACGAACTCACATCCATTGACAGGTCTTGTTGAAGTAACGCCTGGATTACGGTATCATTGAGTGCGTCTTCTGTGGTACGTATCGATACATTACTTCTCGGTAAAATAACAATCAATCTCGCGTCTATATTACTCCCATCTGAAAGATTGCAAACTGCATTAGAGCCTGAGCTAAAAGTTTGAGAACTCTTGTTCTAGGACGTCAAATCTTTAGAATGAAGGCAATTCCTCTAAGAATGTATGATCACAATGTGTGTTGTAGGTTTATACGCCCAATTTAATGTTACACACCACCATGAACACTGATAAAATGTGAAAATATTTCAAAACCAGTCCTCATTTCAAAAGAACTGACAACATGTTCACCATGAAACAAATAAATTTTAAAGTAACAAAAAATAAATAAAGAATAAAATTTAACCAGGAGAAGTATAAGGAAGTTCCAATAGTTCCGCTTGCAAGATGTTGGAAGATAGATATCTGACTGGATCTCGTGATGCCATAAATTCAATTTCCCTGTATCTTTTCCGATACAGATAGAACGGACCAATTCCTTCGTTGACAAAAGAAATATCCCATGTTCCCTGAATGTTTTAACACAATTAGAAATTCAAAAAGATTTTAGGGTTTAAAAATATAAATTATATATAAAAAAATTATACTTTTTAATAGCCAAATAGTATAAAAATAGTGTAAGTATTAATACAAGTATCGAAGGCGAAAATTTTGATTATTTTATATTTATCTTCATTTCCATTCAAATTTTAAAAATTTTTGATGATTATTCAATTGGAAGTGTTAACGAACATTTCCTGTACATATATAGTACAAGCGATATAATATTGATTAATTTGCTTGATTTTTCGTAGTGAACTTTTGTCATCGAAACATACTACTGTTATCAGCGCATGAGCTGTTTGTAAATACTTTAAAACGTTCCTGGCGAAGATGGATTTATGAGATCTATGGCAATAAATAAACTGATGGTGTTTATAATTTAAAATATGAACTCTACTGATTTGCTAGAGATAAGCTACTTTGCATACATCAAAATGACTTAGTTTGGGATCTTAGTTCACAATTTTATACAGCGTGACTCAAACTTCGAATTGGATTAATTAGGACTAAAGTTTGTATCAAATATATCACATAGCATCTGCAGTTCCACCTCTGATTCGATTCAGAGATGCAAATAAAGAACCTAACAAGTCAAAAGGTTTTTATTTACTACATTGGTGTTATGGTTGTATCCTAATATCAAATTTGACTGTTTCAAACATGTCTGAAAGTCTAACAATATAAAATTAATTAAGATTCATAAAAGTGATGACAGGGTTCTGTTTATACTGGTTTGTTTGCATTTGGCTTCGATACCATATCTCAGACCAATAATGTCGACACGTACATAGGTCTTTTTTTATTGCGTCGAAAACATCCGAGAAGGTATATGTTTCCATGATGTGATGACGTGGATGGATAATTGAACATTTATCGCACCAGATTGGGTGGACTTGGGTGCTGGGAGAAGCAGCAACCTATCGTGAATTATCCCACAACGGCGACGAGATGTCGCGACTATAAAGAGCATACTGATAGATTGTGCTTTTCAGATATTAGAAATTATTACGATTTCAACTGCTAGCCATTGTAGAAAGGCAATTGCATACTTTTGTTCAACAACTGTCAAAAAAAAATGAGGGTGAGTATGTATTCAACGTTACTGTTATTAGTATGAAATAAAATGTTTCATTGTACCTTGAAGAACAGAGCACATGTGATGACCAGCATTGCGTCAGGTGTTAAAAAATTCGGTTGAATAATGTTAACTATGTTTCCTCCGGTCTGCTCGTTCACCCATCTGTTAATTTGACGCTCAGCTAACTTTCTAGATTCGTTGAAAGGAGCCTTGAAAGTGTAAAAAGGCATCAATTATTACAGGTATTGAAGTCAACTATTTTGTCTCTTTAATTCATCTTTGTTTTCATTGAAAACTAAAAATTCTTGGATAACGATTGGAACTGTTGCTAAACATTCTATATAGAAATATAGTACAACGTTCATTTCAGTGGTTCAATTTTTTTAAATTTTGGCCATTATCAAAATAATGGCTTGTTCCAGGTGTAAATTCCATACGAATGAACATTTGTGGTTTTGAAAAGTTGTATCAAAAGATTGCGGATCTGATATAGCAATTTGAAACTCAAACCAGTGATTCATTCAAAACCAATTTCGACGCCATTTGAATAAAATTTTGCATAAATTTCAATGTAATCCCGTCCGATTGTAAAATAAAAATTCAGAGTAATGCACTACTAGAACGTTCTAGAACTAGAACGTGGGGCAATAGAGAGAGTGTGCTAAAACGAGAACAAGAGAGACGCTGCATTTTCGAGATCAATTTCTGCTACAAAGGGTGTATGTAGTCGAGTAGAGAAGATGAAATACATTTTATATTCACCATTTATTCAAAAAGCTTGAATTACTATGCGAGATGGAATATTTAGAGTTTCTCTCAAAGTTCCAGAAATTCGCGGAAGTTTCTTAACATTTTAATTATATAAACAAATAGACTGTAATGATATGTTATGGTTTCGTCCGATCAAATACGATTATTATCTTGTAATAACATACCGAATGTAAGTCGTCATTTAAAACTTATTAAAAGTTGAAGGTACAAAAATCAATTTTGGGATTATCAAGCATGGATTATACATAATAAACTTGTCTGATGAGTCTAGTCTAATCTTTTGCACTGGACCAACAATCTGTTTGTGCTATTACAAATTTATTCATAGAAATCTTAAAATCGACGCATTTAAGTTGATAAATTTATTTTAACTTTTTAACTTGCTTTAAAACAATCTATAATCGAATCAAGTGTTTTTATACTTTCGAAATCGCATAATAGTATTCATATTTTTAAGCCATGATATGATAATGCTTTTCTGCAAAGGTAGTTGGTAGTTAAGATGGTGGTTTCGTTCGTGAACAATGTTTACCTAATTTTTTTTCGTATTTCTCGTCATCAAGGAGATCGTATTCATGTTCCTTCATGTTCGAAAAATAATCAGTAAATTTGGATTAATGCAGCACCGCAGCAAGTCTGTGGTAACGATATTCATGTATGTGCGAGATATTACATTTATGTTACATCAGATTTACATAAAGATACCTGTATCAAATTTGTGGTATGTTTGTATAAAGTATAGGTATAACTTTATGTTCTAGGCTACTTACCACTGCCATTTCGATCCCGTATCGCCCGGTACTTTGAACGAAATCGTCTCGGAATGTGAACGTTTTGTCTCCGTATAATCTTGTAGCTGTTCTCAGCACAGCCGTATCATTTTCTTCTTCAAAATCTTCTAGGACGAATTGTCTATTATAACGGTCACTATGGTAAGCATGCAGTATGCAATCTTCATCCATCGCTTCCTCGGATCTGCATTTGACAAGATAATTTATTTGGAACTTCACAAAGATACAAAAAAAATGCAATACACACGACGAAACACATGGCAGAAATTCTGGAAAGCTACCATGCCTTCGAATCAGCTTTACAACATATGATGTAAGATTACTACATTAGCAATCTCTTGTGACGATATATACAATATAAGTGAAAAATACACCATGAAATACTCTCTAAGCTTTGAGCTTGGGAGCATGTACATGTAGTACTCGGTCATGGCTCGGCGGCGTCGCGCATCGTGCTAAGCGTTAGGAATACGCTCACCGCGGTCCCTCTGATTACCCTGCATGGGTTGGAAAGTTCGAATCCAGTGGGGATAATTAAATTATGTGTGAGAGGATTGTTAGACTCATCGCCGCCGTAGAGTGATCACGTAACCGCTGGTTGGTTATGGCTCCCTCAACCACCAAGTCCATGCATTTGAAACAAATACCCGGCTAACTAACCCCATACCCGACATGGACTAGTAACCGAACGAGAGGCCGTGGTTCGCCATAAGATTAAGCCACCTTATCGGCTTTTTTCTCCCCCAAGATAAATATGTAAATCCTATCTTAATGCATGTGGGAGCAGTGGAAATCGATGTGGACACTTCTAGGTCTTACAAATGGCGGGATATCAGCTAACGATATCATATATATAACAAGCCATATATATTAGCTTGGCTTATTCGGCAATGAGATATAATTATGCTGGAAACATGCTGCTGCTATCATTTGAGCAGATTTGTGGCAGAATATCTATGGTGCACTCTGTCCTTACATAAGTCTTTCTCTTTTTAAAGTTCTTGTCGAAGTTGTATATATACATATATATATATTACTGTGGTATATACATGTACGAGGGGCGGGACTCGCTCATTGCTTTTAATCAAATTATTAAGAATACCGTAACGTATATGTTCGAGTACCCACTTATTTCTTTGCTCGAGTACTCTGAAAATTTGTACTCTTGACCATCCATATGCTCCGTATGTTAAAGATGACAGTGACATTCCAACAGCCAAAGGTGGCAAAAAGATGTTTCTTCTGTGGCCCGAAAGTTTGGCAGCGGTCTTGTATAAGGAATAAGAGAATCGTCTGCTAGCGGCACTAGCGGAAACCATGCTAGAAAAATAAACATGAAACGTAAAAATCAGCATCAAATTTCTCAATTTATATCATAAACTAAATATTTATTTTTCAAACAATTTATTGCAGGTGTGTTGTAAGAAAGTTCTTAAAATGAAAAATGACGATACGCCTCGATTTTAGAGCGTCTTTTCAAATTGCATTTTTAAATCAATTTTTAAATTTAGTTCCACTTGGTTAAATGGATGCAAATTGAGTGTTTATGATGAAAAGCGATCATTTCATTGCAAGCACTATACTCCTGAAACATTGAAACAAAATGTCCCAATTTTGTGCGTCTTAATACATTTCTTAGCAGTTCATTTTTATATAAAATCAGCAAAAATACTATTTCGAAATACAGTTTTTCTCGTTTGACTTTGACAAACGTTACACGGCATTTAAAATGAAACGTGTTGATAATGTAATTGGACAAAATAACACATAAAATCCGTCAAGTATGTAATTCATTTTACAACAAGATAACGATCACAAAAACATCCGTACAATTTGACCTGAAGTTTATAAAACGTGACACATTTAATTGAGATTTTATGAAATTGCTCGATAAAAACAATTGTCAAAATATTTAAGAGCGTCATTCTCGTAATGACCTCAATTACATGGCAGCATTTACGCTCGATCTAATGTTCAAAATGTATGAAATGTTCACTTCAAGATATTTACAATAACAGTTTGGGTTGTGACAAAGTATGCCACGCTGCTGTTCTGTTTTCTCTGATTGTCTATTGTCGGACATTGGATATTTCTCGGAACCAATCTTCGAGCACACAGCGTGCGGGCGTGACCCCTCCACTGACACGATAAATGAAACGATGTCTGTTTGTTTCCGAACACGTTTCAACTTTCTGTGAGAGCGTGAAGGGAAAAATGAAAACATTCACAAATTATGATAGTCATTTTGACACTGTTAATTGTACAACTCCAATGTTAAACAATAGGCTGTATTATATGAATGCTTGTTTAGATTGGCTCTTATTAGACTTTTAGATTTGTTATAAGTTGAAGCAAAATTTATGCTCGTTGTAATGAACAATATAATACTGTATTGGAGGTTACATGTATGAACCTACCCGTGATCCCAGACAACAAATGGTCCTTGCCAAACATTAGTTAGTTATGATAAACTATCTATTGCCGTCCAACATTTGGTAAAAAAAAATGTGAAACTGTGAATGGTGTAAATCATTATCAATATCTAAGAATAATAAATATGCATCAAAAAGTCAAAATCCCCAAAAAAGTCGTTCATTTAGTGCAAAATTCGTAATCTATCTACCGATCACCATTTTTTAATATATATCCGTTTTACGTTCGCTTAAAATACACAAAATTCCAGACATATTGAAAAAAAAAATTTTCTCTTGGAATTGCAGGGTTTTTGAATATATAGTTTATAAATTGATCGTACAAAATTTTAATGATAATCATCATTTCCGTTACAGTCAATAATCCGAGATAAATGTTAAATATTATCCGAAAAATGATCTCTTGAAAAACATATAATTTTCCAATTGAAATTCACTATTTATTTTCTCACGCACGGTAACAATTTCTACCATAATGTGGGTTACAAGTGGGGTAATTTTTGCATTATCAAGAATAATTGTCAAGAGTATCAAAACAACGAAAAACATCCATATAAGATAATATAAATGAATTTGACTTGATAGGCTTAGTTGTTACGCCAAGTTCATTCGAAATGTCATAATATTTACTTTGAATAAATTAAGTTAAGTGGCTAAATTGATATTATATATTGGGATTTTTTTTTCTTATTATCCATCATTCAACTCTTCAGATTGACGATTGCGTGATACATAGAAATGTACCATTCCGAGTCTGCCTATCTGATCTTTTATCCCTCAATTTATCGCATTGAAAACACCGAATATTATCAAACGATCGCACCATGGTTTTGAAGAATAATAAGCACGATACGACAGTGTTTCGGTAGATACTTTTCGTTAGAGATAAATAATGTTTAACATCGTCTTTAAGTCCAAAAAACAATAAACACATCTTCGGTAATCAACCACATTGTCTATAAATGGACATCTTGCGTTATACAAGTGATTCATATCATATGAAACTATAAGTCAGCGGAAGAACCTATTTAATCACATCAAATGCCAAATATGCTATTCGAGCGTCAGAGTTGCTTATTTCTAGTCACAATAAATCACGAAAGGAAAGCTATATTTTTAGTATCTCAAAATGTTTTTTTTTTTATAAGAAGACGACATTTGTATGAATAATGAACTGATGACATAAATAGTACTTGATAATCACGTTTTTAAAACAATGGATTATTAATGTTGAGATTTTTTCAAGTTCAAATTTTAAATTAAAGATGCACATCTGTTGGACCGAGTAAGTCCAATTATAAGCGTGGCCTCTCTTCAATACACCAAACTGAACTGTTAGAAAATTAGAAACATATATATATATATACATATATACTTAGGTAATACAATTTTAGAACAGGTATAATGGATATCGAAGCATCTGTATATAGTTCACACAAAGCAGCAAGTGTGTTTTGCACAATTAATTCATTGTTACAATTGGAAGTTTTGCAAACCGCAAAAGGCGTTTTGTGTTAAGCCATTTTGAACCGGTCATTATGTGCAAATCACTTTCGATGGAGGTATAGTTTCGGAATTTCATTCGAGCCAACGTGAATATTTTTAATGAAAAATTGTCTGGTTCTGATTGTTATTTCAATTTCATAGAAATTTTTTCCAAAAAACGTCAGTTTAATTGTCGCAATGGAGCACAAACATATATGAAAAAAGGCGTTTCTATTTGAGCAATAATTTGCATATTTTATTGTTAAACAGTATAATCGACATTTTATTGCGTCTGATAAAGATTATATGTATTCTTCATTTTTGTTGATAGACGGGGAAACCACATATCTCGATGATTTAGCCGTCGGCTATTCCGTGATTCATTATCTCGATTTTTGATTCCGAGTTTGTTTGAAGAAACTTGTGGCTTTACAATGGAAATATTTTATGCGCCCTCACTCCGAACGGGACTTTGTACATTCTATGCTGGGTAAGAAGCTTTTATAGTTTAGCAGGACCGGAATTTTTCCAGTTCTGAATGGCCTACCCAATGTAGTATACCGTGGATGAAGTGGTGTCCATGCGATCCGGATCTGAAAGTTTAATCTGCGATGCTAACATAGCCAAGAACAGCGTTTCAATCGATAGGCCAACGCGCCCAATGTCCCGGATCAATATGTAGAAGCCGTGAGCAGAAAGAATTACAATATAATAATATATTCATATAATATAAAATTATAAAATAATAATATATTCATATAATATAAAAATTATTTCGTTGGAAATGGGTCGGGCTGTCTAACTTTTAATAATTGGACGCAAGTTAAACGCCTAAAATTTAGGTGAAAGTTTACATTTTTACCATCACATTTAATGAGCTTAAAATTAAAGTCAATACTTAAACACAATGGATGACACGATATATTAAAGTTAATATATGCATAATTCTGTTAAATTCCAAATAAATTTTAAAAACGAAATGCCTTGACGTCAATGATATCGCATCATGTATTAGCTTGATCCAAATTAATTAGGATAAAGTACATCAAGTTATGAAAAAATAATATGACTTGATACGCCTTGATCCTGCGACTATCATATTGTATTATACATAATTAAATTTGTTATTGTACTTATTCGAAATTCAATTAAAATCTATTAGCTAAATAAAAACCAACGTCATATGCCATCACAAAACTTTACATGCTCATGGTAAAGTCAATGATCTTACGTAAAATATAATTTGCTAATTAATTTGCAGTTTTTATTAAATTTTATTTACGAAAATTCAACATATAGCGCATCTTTAAGTTGTTTCAAGCGATTCAGATATTATAAAGCATTGGGAATACGTACAAATTATATAAAATAATCAAAAGGAAAACATGTGATTTTCGATAAAACTGTCAAAATAATGTTTAAGCATGTGCAATATTTAGACATCAAATTGAAATAAATTCTGGTCGATAGCTAATTATTCGATTAAGCCACTTATTCGATTTAATACGGCAATTGTTAATAAAAGATAATTCGCATACTTGGTATCACGTATACAATATAAAATTTAAACTACAAGCAAGTTTCGGAGATAAATTTATTTTAAGTATATTTTTCACGATTAACAGCAGCAGACTCTATAACTGATTTATTTAAAACATATATCTGCAAATCGTAGTACAACAGACACACTTCGCACACAAATTCGACTAAACTTTGAAAACGAAACGAAACTTTTATTAAACTTCCAATTTACCATACCTGCATTCATAATCGATCTCCCCATTTTCTAAATATATGTATGCATAGACCACACACATAGATTGCAGAAATATCCAAGTGAATGCAATTTTCATATCCGCCATTTATCTTTCCTTCTGCGTGTATTCTTTTACAAAATCCCACAAGTTTCAAGATAACATTTTTACTAAATTTCCCAATATCCTAGACATACTTATTCCTGTAATGTATATACAAAATAAGACGATGTAGACTACAGATTAGGCTACCTCTTGCATAATAAACGTGCTACTTCTTCTGTGGCGTCAACATGATAAAACTACGCGTCTGGAAAATTTATGACGAAAGAAAACGCACCACCAAAAGGCACCGGATGCCGTAGGCAATCTGCCTGTATTTCGCAAATGGCTACGTAATTATACAATGAAGGTTCAACGATCAACTTCAAGATAATTTTTTGATTTTGTGAGTTTATAGCATATCTACGACATGAACGGTCTTTAACGTAAGCACTGAGACGTTAGATAATATCTCAAACGAACAAATGATTTCACACATATCAAGACGACAGTCCGTTCTTCTTGTACATACTTTAATTTCAACAAAATTATTCTCGACAAATGGCACAAATATTAAAACCAATTTTTTAATCCAACAAATATTTTCTATATTTTAAGCCTAAACCAAAGGTATAGTTCGACATTTGCATCTTGTAAACAAAGCAGTTTCGGCGTTTAATGTAATGACGTCTAAGCATATTTTGAATTCTACAGTTTGTAATTCAAATTTGACTTTAAAAAAAAATAATTTCTGAAATACAAATTCCATGACACAGAACACTATTAACCAAAGTAATAGATCTACATTTTTAAAACTTCTAAACCAAAGTCTTTTCTGTTTTTCAATTTCCTCGGAAACGGGAAATTCTTTAACCCTATTCCTACTCTCAAATCGCATGTAAAAAGTGACTAAACTACTGCAGCGATCGCGAAACCTTTTAAACTATGATAGAATTAATCAACGTTGCCTTCCAAATTGCAATTTGAATTGCTATCAGATGCCAACTTCGGCCATGTTACGTCATAGAGTAAGACAATTACGTTTAAAATATCGATTTTGCAACAGTTTACTACACCTAATCGGCATTGATGAAATGAAATATTGCTATTTATAAGAAACTTGCAATATAAATAATGAAATTATTCATTTTAAAATTGCGTACATATATGGTATGAACATACATTATCAAAATATTAATAATAACAATCAGTGTACATAACAAAATAGGACTCACTAACTATTGGAATAAATCACATTGAGCTTCAATAACATTTAAGATTATTGGAATAATAATGCCTTTATTAGAGGCTTGAGACTTGTATGCAGGGTACAATAATAAAGTCAAACAATTTCGAAATAAAGGCACTGTATATCAAATAACGCTAGTGACTAACATACAAACTGACCCATGAGGTTTTTTTGAACAAAGTTAGGGCATATTTGCACGCATGTGAATTATTCAGGTTAGTATGTACGTTCTTATGTCTGCACGTTTGTACGTCGATCTAAAATACCATTTGATAATATCAATTTTTCATAGCTTATATATATACTGTATATATATCGTGGAATATATGAAAGCTACAGAATACCAAATTCTGACAAAATTAATCCAACGATTTGTCCTTATCTTCTTATCTGAATATAGTATCATCGCATAAAATCCAGCGTGTTTATAGAGCCGTTTCGTTTATTCATTGAAATTGATGTGAGAAAAGAAAACGAAAGCGGTAAAGTGACTATTTGTATGGGAAAAGTGAATTTGCTGGTTGGTTAATAGGAGAACTTACGATGCAGCCAATTAAAATTTTAGCGCCGCCCGAAGTGGCTCACATATTATAAAACCTGTTTGTCATTCACTTTTCGTATCATTCCAAAAATATCAGGAAGAGAAACTAAGCACTTGAAATTATGATGAAAAATATCAGAACAATTCGTTTTTGTGTACAGTACAAATTATTCTCGCTCTATTATTTACACACTAGTTGAAGTATATTGGATCATCTAAATTCTAAAGTGAACTTAATTAAACCTTGATTTTTTCGGAGAAATTACCAGCATCATCCGTATCGTCTTCATTAGGATGCGCAGGAACACATCCCCATACATTTTGCGATTTCTTTTTCAATGCTATGGATTACAAAATGATAGAGCGGAAAACAGGTCAAAATTTGGCAACTACTGCTCTATAGTTGCAGATTTACCCCCAATTAGCCGTGGGTTATTGTTTTCTTCCGTAACATTACACTAATCAATGCAGTTGGAAAACCAAAGAAATCCAAACATTGATTTAGTTGTTCTCGGATGTCGTTGGGTATTGATCCAACTATTCTGAATGCATAACTATTACCTTTGATGAAGTAGTTATTACAAGTCCCTCATACACTGTAATATATTGTATTAATTGTAGAAAATAATCATTTCAAGTATTGATGAATAAAATGAAATCATATTTCTATAGGGTGTAATAAAACAAAGCTATGACGAAAAAGTCTGTTGTACAAAAACGATTCGTTCATCAATTCATATTCTTGTTATGAAACAGCACTGCGAACATCAGCGAGTCGTGTTGGAGAAAAATGAACTTGACTAACTCAACTTCCTATGGCGACACATATTATTTGATTTTATATGGAAAAGGCGTAAACGTTTGGATGATCACGATTATAATTCCTGCTATATTTTTTATAGCAGCAACATACATCATGGTTATGTTAATCATTGAAATGTGCTCTACTGGGATTGGGTTGCATGGATCTAAAAGTGTAGGAGAACGATTAGGTGCATGGATGAAAATAGTTCGACTCTTACTAGTTACTATCTCGAACGTTTCGATTCTAGATTGCTGGCTGGTCCGACTTTTAGTCGATCTTTACTTTCCCGAGTATTGTCAAGTTTATAAACAATACCGGATTGGATCTTTTAGTGTCACTTTTATTCTAAGTTACTTGGCAATGTGGTTGAGACATCGCGTTATCTACAGTAATCCCTCAATGTCTCATTTAACAAATCCTATTACTCGTACCATAAGTGTGATCGTAGTGGTCTTGAGCGTGTTGTTACCAACTTCCAACGCCGTGATTTCTATAGCTACATTTCAGAGTAGAGTGACTGAAGATGGTTGTGTGGTTGTGTCTTCTACAATACCCACCAAAACTCCTTGGATTGTTATCAGCGTATCTTCAACAATATTGCAATTACTGATTTTAGGTCTTTTCATACACCCATTGAGGCAACATCAGGTTGTTGTCGGCCGCGCTGCTGATAACTTGACACCAGTGTTGAAAAGAGCGTTCTACACATCTCTGGTTTGCTGCGCAAGTGATACTGCAGCTTCAGTCGTAGGAGCGACGATGGGAGGGACCATTATGCCCACTGCTTTGACAATGAGTTTATTTGCGAACCTTGCGATGATAGTAGTGAGTTTTACAGAGTGGAAAAAATCTCTTTTTCCGTACTGGTAATATTTCTCGAGTACAACAACGTCATGCTCCTGTGATAACGTGAACCAAATCATTGAATTTGCCATTTTCGAATCTGATTTATACTGCGTCGTACGAAGCATATACTTGCACCAATATATCTCAACTGACCCAAACTCAAGACTGCATGCACCATCTATTTTTTGATCGACTGTTTCAAGGTTGCTCTCTGTTTTACAGTGTTAAAACCGCATAATAGCTTGCAATTCATATATATATATATACAAAAGATTATCAGATTTAAATTCAACCATCTACATTCAACAAGGACTGCTATATGAGGAAAGTTTTTCAGCAGCACTGCGTACAGAATACGTGAGAAAAGATGCACTCACAAATTTGTGCACTCGATAAATATATTTAACAGACTGGGGGAACTGTGAAATAACGAAAAAAAAAGATATTTTTTATTTAAATAATGAATTAGTGTGAGTGTTGTGATATAAAAATGTTATGTTGTCGTAAGAAATATAATTTTGTTTTTTGATTGCACTGCTTTACATAAGCTATACAGTATTCGGAATCGTTTTTATTCCAAGTTGAGTAAAAGAGGTTTATTTCTGTATGGGCGATATGTGGTATATATAGGAAGAAGGGGCTGTGGTCATCTGCATCCACTAGATATCATATTCAATCGATATTGGATGAATAAAATTAAGTTTTAGTACAATAGCACAGTGAGCCTGCTACCAGAACAATGAGATTTTGTGGTTAGACCAGTGATTTTCATCCAGTAATGTCCAAATTACCAATTATGTTAATATGCTCATTTCTCATAATGCCTTCTCCTTGATAACCAAACCCACTAGAGTAGGTCAAACTTCTGCAACATTGATCGACCACATGTACACCAATTTGACAAATTTGAAAATTAATTCCTATGTTGTTCTATCAGATATAACAGACCATTTCCCAATAATGTGTTCTCTTAGTGGTGTAACACCTATTCATAAAAATGATTGCATAATTTCTAGGGACATGTCAAACTTCTCGATTGACTCTTTTCGCACAGATGCACAGAGCATTTTTGATAACTTGTTTGATACATTTCAATTGAATGCCCTAAACTACAATAGTGCTTTTGAAGAATTTATACTATCAATCAATACTCTAATTGATCGCCATGCTCCCCTTCGGCCACTTTCACGACGACAGAAAAGGTTAAAACTAAAGCCCTGGTTGAGTAAAGGGTTATCTAGCTGTATTCGACACAAAAATAAGATTTTCAAATCCCATTTTCTGAAAGGTAACAGCTCTCAACGCTCCTACTTTAAAAATTATAAAAATGTTTTGTCAAAAACATAGTATAACGCAAAACAAAGTTATTACCAAAATCTTATTGCCCAAAACAAAGGTAATCCAAGGACAACATGGCAAATAGTTAACCAAATTACACATACAAATAATAAATCCAAATCAAATGTTGATGAAATCTTCCGAGAGAATGGCTGTATCACTAAAAATGGTATTTCAATCGCTACCGAATTCAATAAGTACTTTTCAACGGTTGGGTCCAGTCTCTCAGACAAGTTTTCTAATGATATGACTAGCTTCAAACATTTTCTTCGCAATCGTGTAAGCTAGTCCATTTTCATGAGTTTGACTGATTCAAACGAAGTGATAATAGAAATACAAAATCTGAAAGATAGGAAGGCAGTAGGTCCAGACAATATTCCAGCACGGTTCCTTAAACTTGTTGCTGACCTCATTTCGCCATGTTTAGCTGAACTTTTTAATTGTTCTCTCTCGTTAGGAATCTTTCCTTCCTGTCTCAAAATTGCTCGAGTAATCCCCCTCTTCAAATCTGGAAATAAGAAATGTGTTCCAAATTATAGACCGATATCAATTCTTTCATCGATTGATAAGATATTTGAGCGCTTGATCCATAAGCGACTTATTAGTTTTTTTTACTAAATATAATGTTATAAACAGATCTCAGTTTGGTTTTCAGAATAATCATTCGACATCCCACGCCATTTTAGATACAATATCTTATGTTTATGATAAATTAGAGAAAAAAGAGTTCGTTAGCACAACATTTTTAGATTTAAAAAAGGCTTTTGATACTGTGGATCATGACATTTTAATTTACAAGCTGAATCATTATGGCATCAGGGGACAAGCAAATAAACTAATTACTAGTTATCTAAGCGATAGATCACAATATGTCAAAGTGGGAACTTATTGTTCCTCTCTCTTACCAGTGACTCACGGAGTTCCACAAGGTAGTTGGGCCCATTATTTTTTCTAGTATATGTCAATGACATAGTTCACTGTTCTTCGCTTTTAACCAAATTGTTTGCTGACGACACTAGCCTCCTCGACAGCGACAAATCCCATGCAGCTCTGCAATCAAGAGCAAACGCTGAAATTGCAAAGGTGGCTAATTGGATGAGATCTAACAAACTAACAATAAATATAGAAAAGTCTAAATTTTAGACTCTAAAACATTGTTAATATCACCATATAGGCGTAAATCTCAAAATGGTCTGTCAATCCAAATTGATGGTACAAAACTTGAAAACGCTATTTCTTATAAATACCTTGGCATATATATTGATAACAAATTGAAATGGGATACACAAATTTCAAACCTGGCCGTTAAATTATCCAAGTCGGTTGGGATATTATATAAACTTAAAAGATTTACATCGCTTCCTACATTACGCATGGTTTACTACTCCCTATTCCAGTCTCATATTCAATATGGCGTAGTTGCATGGGGCTCTGCTGATAAATCTTTATTGCACCGATTAGAAATTATGCAGAATCGGGCCATTCGCGCTATTTCTGATGTTGCCTATTGCACACAACTAAGTCCTATTTATAATAAACTGAGAATTATTAAACTTGTAGATATACATAGAATTGAAGTGTTGAAGTTAATGCATCAACACCATAACAATAAACTCCCTGCAGCATTCACTAACTACTTTTCAAAGCAGAGCCGTATTCACTCCTATGGAACACGGTCATCTGCTAAAGGCTCTTACTTTGTGGATCGCTTTTCCACCAAGATGACTTAATAGTCTTTCGCGACTCCCCGTCAATTTTTTTTTTTTTTGCGAAACATTGTGTGTTTTTGATTTATTTCAATTTATTATTATTATTGACAATGTTTCATGCACGACGAAATAAAATATCTGAATCTGAATCTTTCTTACTTTTTTGTACCGTCGCCCCTTATGTCCGTCGTGAGAGCGATAGCTTATTGCCCTTAACCTACGTTCGCTATTATTTTCAATGACCAGGCCGTTTTATCTTTTCCTCTTTATTATGTACATTATATAGATGTAATAGTTTGTTTGTATTCCTCATTAGACCTTATCAATTTTTCGTAAGTGTCTCCTAAATAGCATTTGCTGTAAATATTTTCGATTTACTGTTTGCCTCATATTGCTTTTAGTTGCATATTCCGCCAAACTTGCCCTTCCTATATTTTTTCTGTGCTTTTATCTTGCTTTCCTCGCGTTTTTATTAGTTGTTAGTAATTATTCCGTGAAAGTTACATTTTCTGTTTTACTGTGTCATAATCGCATACATTTCGAATGTCGCTGTAATTGTATCAGTTGTGACTTATTCCTAGGATTTATTCATTTTATCCCTCATTTAATTATATTTATTCTAACCTTTAGCGCTGTAGGTGTCGCTGCTTGAAGACCTTCTTAGGTCCCTCGCGACTCCGGTCACGCAAAAACATGATTAGTACTGTAATTTATTCATTATGTCACTTTATGTTTGAACGTGTTTTTTGTGATGACAAAATAAACGATTGATTGATTGATTGACTTACTCAAAACTCCATCAAATTCGTTGGTGTCAAGTTATGGAACACTCTCACTGACAATGTTTCATGCACGACGAAATAAAATATCTGAATCTTTCTTACTTTTTTGTACCGTCGTGATTATGCCATCCGTTAAAATTGTCGCTTTTCCAGCGATGATGATAATCAGTCAGTATGTTCCCCAGCTTTTCTTTTTAGGGGGGGTGTTTCGAAATTTAGGGGGTGGTGAATAATTTGCTACTAAAGATAAAACTAGGCCATTTGTATTCTTAAAAAATGGTATGTATTTAAGAAACGATGTACAAGAGGGGCCCCCAAGTTGATTGACGGCGAGCCAAAATCCACAGCAGAATAAAATTGTAGGGCCATAAAAGGGGAGCGAGGAAAAGAACGGGACGTCACGGCTGGAGTTCAGGCACGCTCAAGCGCCCTGAGAAAATTTTGAGAAATAGGCTCTAAGCTTGATTTTAGATACACCTAGCATCGCAGTTTGTTATGTAATGAAATCAATAATTATAATATTTAGCTGATAGAATTCCCGGGAAATAGAAAACAAGCACGGCTTTCAACCGTAAATATATACTACTACGCTTCAACAAGTAATTTGCAACTGATAGTGACTAATGAAGTTACTCGCTCATCTGGCATTGTATGAATGGCTACTTATGGCTTGTTTTGTTACACATTTCACATTTTTTTGGAACATGTTTGTTTGACTTTTGTATGAATTAAGCAATGAATTAAATTTTGAAATACGCGCGTCAACTGTGTTATAGTTCTCCTTGTTGATGGCAACTATAATTATTATTATTGAGGCACCTTACTTCCCAACCATCCACACCAACAATCAGCTCATATATTCAAGTATTCACATTTACTTCTAACACAGCACAGCGTCAAATTTACGTGTTACTCCTAGAACAGCGAAACGAAGACACATTGTAAACAAGGTATTTATGCGCCACAACATACATAAAGAAAATAGGGCACACATGAAAAGTCATTAGAGCATAACAATAATACAATATTATACCTATTGTATGACAAACTGATCATAATGTTGTATTCCTTCAGAACTGAAATATTTTTTGGTAAGAAGACAAATCGCTGAAGTTTGATTCTTTTCAATAAAGAAATAAAAACGCTGTCATTCATATAAAAACGTCTGTTTTCAGTGCCTAGTTTTCGTTTTGTGACATCTTTAAGCTTTCCTAATATACGGCTGATATCTAAGATACTGCAGTGTATAATCCTAATACCCATACGTATACATAAGATACCGGTATAATTCAATTGTTACGAAATAAACGTGCTTAAACTGTGATGATTCCCACTCCCCTTAACTTGAACTAGATATGGGTTCTCAAGTCATTGTTGTAGTTTAGTAGCTATGAACTTTGTATTATATATATACAGATATATATTGCAAATCTCAGCATTTGTCATGTTGAAAGTAACTTTTTTTATTACGCACTTGAAATGACACTTCAACACCTAGTCACATTGTTTCTTTTTTGTTATATTGTGCAGTCCAGTGTGTCTGTACAGACGATAGAATATTATTCATCACGTTACAGCGTTACCGGTACCGTACGGTATTTCATATTCGAGTACCGGTACGGTACTGTGCGGCAGGTTAAACATCTGCTTCAATAGATTTATGTCATTTATACCTGTTCTTTCTTCATTGTCTCCCGTTGTCCGTCCACTACAACTGATGATTATCATAATTTGGTTGTGATAACTGAGCCACTACAAATTCCCGAATATTTCCCCATAACACGCTTTTATTCACTGCCTGTAAGCTACGAAACGGGGAATACCCCAAATTACTATCTGATGTATTGCGTGGCTCTCAGATACACCCTAGTGTCAGGACGATTTCTCGTTAAAACCGTATTAGTATATATTTACGGCTTAACTATTCTATGCTATATTGATCTACTAAAATTATATGTTAATTAAATAGTTGAATCTTGGGTGCCGCTGCTAGATAACCAACTTTGGTTCCCCACGGCTTCCCTTCCCCAGTAAAATTATGTTCTTGAATTTTTGCTTATTTTTTGCATCATTTATTATTTTACTGGTTGGAAAAAATAAACTTGACTATGACTATGACTATAACAATAGACGGTATCTAAAACTCAAAAGGTACCACATGAAGGGCTAAACTATTTCACTCAAGTTCGGCGGGCCATTTTAAATCGTCACGCCGGCCGTAATTGGCCCGCAGACTGCGGTTTAGAACCCCTCATCTACATTGATAAATATGCCATAGTCGTTATATTTGAATACAATTATACTTGAGTTAGGTAATACAGTGTGGAATCGCACCTCAAAATTAGGGGGGGTGTTCACCCCCTATAGGGGGGGGGGGGGGGTGTAGGGAAATCACTGTAATCAGTCCATGGCCGATACGAGTATTACCAAGGGATTGTCATATTATTATGATTATTTTTACCGTAACTCGCCATTGCGCCTTCTTGCAATAAAGTTATATTGCTCTGAAATATTACAATTTGCGTACATAAAAATACATACCGCCCTATTATAATTGATTCGCATTTCTGGAATCCTGGTAATGGGACCATATTCATTTCCTTCATTTTCTGTGGAAACTGGATCTTCGTATTCAATACCTAGGTTGTATTCAGCGTTTCGTTTCAGATGACCGCATGATAAGTACGGTGACAACGAGTTTTTCACACTTACGAAAAAACCGACATAAAACCGATGTTCACGGCCCAAATACACACGTCACCTGAAAAAAACATTCGGCGATTATAATCAAACTTGACATTTTGAAAAAACACGATCGCCCCTTCGGATTTTTCGACCCCCATTTCATCTCTTTCGCCCTCACGGGGACGGATCAAGTTTTAAAGAACTGTAGACCAACCATTTATTAGAACAAACATCGGAAACGCACATATACATTAATATTGTGAAGTTTATACAACAGCATATAAGAAAAAAGTCTCATGATTGCCATTCAGAAAAATAACTACAAAAACATGTTCAGTCTAAAACCGCATTTTGTATAAGGAATCAAAAGCAAAAGCGAATCCGTACATGCAATCCATTCCTGCTTATCGCAAAGCAATAATGTCAAATAATCTCGGCAACACAAAACACATATCTTGATGTGCTTCCTGCGCGTCAATTATCCCCTTTGTAGAGTATAGACCACAAATTAAAAAGAATCATGACAACCAACTAATAATGCTTTGAGCACATTGTAACACTCTTCACATTGCTTCTGATATTAGGTTGTGCGCAATTGTTGTTAGTTAATATTTTTGAGTGAAATAAATTTGAAAACGGAGTAAAATAGATTATAGCTATATAAATAATAATATTCTTATTATGAACTTCATAAGTAAACAGTATTCATACCGACAGTGGAAATGTATAGAGGGCCACATTTGATTACTTAATACGCAACGCTTCAATTGACTTAGGTAACTATAGCAATAATTAAGTCTATTAGTTGCTATAGAAGCACAAAACATTCGGATTAAATCTAACTCATGATAGGATCGCGATACATTTTCACAGCAATCTCCCATTGGGATGAAATCTTGCGGCCCAAAGACTATAAGACGGATTTCAAAAAGTTTGAAAATTGATTTTTGGATGTCGTCATCACAGCCTGGTATATACCGAAGCCACAGTTTTCAGAACCATCCAATATGAGAGCATTAATATATTCCTGACAGGTGGAACAATCAATTATGTATGTACAATATTAGTATATAATTACAGCATGACAGATGTCTAAATTAATTGGAACTGTATATACCACAATCATTAGATTATTAATAATAATAGGTAGTATTCGTTTTAGTGCAACAGGTTGCCCGTTTCCAAAAGAATTTAGCCAAAGTGCATAGCGAGCCCCGAAACCTGGGAGTTGGTATCACAATCAGTCACTTTTCCAATACTCCTAATTACGGTATGTGTAAAATTACGAGGTACATAAAGCCCCCCAAACTGCACCTTATATACTTGGAAATCTTTATATACTAATGAAAAGACAATAGGAAAAAGTTTTTTCCGTTATTGTAATAAGCATAATTTGAAATATGCTTAGATTGATATAATAAGTTGTGCGGGAAGATATAAAGGAGTGCAGTACTGCATAATCTTTATACTTGTCAAAGTCTGAAATGTACATGAATTCCATTTTGCTAATTCATGCTTTGGCGTAGAGGCCACATTCTGATTTATCAATAATCGGCCATGGCATTATTTATTTTTTCTGTGTGGAATCAGTTTTAAATCCCCAATGTTTATATCAAATGTTGAAACAGGGGCTCGCTTGTTTATAAAAAAAATTTATCTGACTGTAAGTGTTAGGCAGTTTGTTGCAATAAATATTGTATGAAACAATAACAAAGAAAAACACTAATGCAAATGCTGTCATCAGCTGGAACTGTATTTTGAAAATAAAATAGTATTAAGTTAAACTGTATAATTCTGGAATTCTGAGATAAATATTTTTATAAGCATTATATTGAAGAAAAGAGTTTTTTAAAATCACTACGTTCTTTCAATAGCGATATCACTATTAAGAGAAGTACTTGCTTTTGAACATGTCCGAAGCATGGGGTGGGACTCTTCACAGGGTGGAGTTGAATTCACTGTACTAGAAGTAGTTGCCACTGATCCATTAACCCGAGATTGACATACCGGTACATCTGGTTCATGCCATTTTGTTAGTTCATGACAAAACAAGAAATAACCGAGACAAGCTCCACCGATGATGGCTATCGCAATATAAGAATTAAAAGTCATGATTGCCAACATCAGATAATATCCAAGCGCTAACCGTGTTCCATGAATGAAAGTCTGAATCACATGATTATAGATCCTGAAAATTGAAGAAATAGTGCAAAAAATTACTTATGTTTAGTTTTAACATCAAAATGGTCATATGATTTTCTTCCTAATCAATTCCACTTTTTGATCGATAAGTGAGAATCACTACTCAAATTCATATTTTGGGCATCTTAGACTTAAATTTATTCGGTTTTATCAGATATAGTATATTTTGATGAATTATTAAACATTTTTCGACATTTGATTATCGCAGTTCCTTGTATAAATTTAAACGAGGTTTTCCACATCTCTGGCTGAAAAGATTTGCATTTTCAACCAAAGTTACAAATGATGAAATACGTTCTTACCTATTACTTCTAATATAAGATTGGTTAACAGGAATTGCAGCATCAGATTGTGTAATACCAGAGATAGCAAGTTGTGGTGATAAGATAGGAATAAGCGGTGATACATGAAAATATGTTTTTACCCATACACGAAACACTCTTATTCCTTCAAACAAAAGAGCAACTGCACCAATAGCTGAAATTATGTAGATAAAAAATATTACAATTAGAGTAAAACGTTTAGGCAACATAATAATGAAAAGGTAGGCTATGATGTCAAATGATGTGATTATAAATAGATGCGAAAGCAACAAAAATAGAAAAAAAACAGTGGGCAAAAATCCAAATAATTACAGCAAAAAAAATTCTACAATTCATAGTATCAAATTGAAAAAGAAGAATGAAAGTAACCACTAAGTTGTTTGTTTGTTTTCACAATTATTCTTTTAAAAACTTGTGATGAAAGGCTAAGACTTACATAAACAAGTGAAGCCAAGTGCCAATGATGTTCCAATGTACCATGGCTCAAATACAAATGTAAAAGGCAAATTGTTGAATGAGAAATATTCCTGTATATATAACAAACAAAAATATGATTTGCATGGTCGAATATGTGATTGTTGGAGAAACATGTGATACTCAAACCCAAATTATTATCTTTAACAAATTGTGCTCCATTTTCAGATTTTGTTGAAGCATGACCCGGTTTAGGCCTCGAGATAATTTAATTTTGGAAGCAATGGAAAAAATATACATAGCCCATGTCTACATGTGAAGTCCCATACCAGTACTAATGGTAGGCATATTATTTTGTCACTCGTATCACAGTAGGCTGGTAGGCCTAATGGTACCTACCTCCAATTCGATACGGTAGTACCGTATGGTACCAGTACAGGTACCGTAGCCTACCGCTATGTCTGTATGCGAATATCAGTGTCAGAGTGTACCGGTTCTGGAATACCGGTATTGTGTTTCATAAGAAGCACCGTAGGTACTGAACTCTAACATTATCCAGTTATCGGTACGATATCGGTAGACAGTCCATACTAGACAGTCTCAAATCCAAAAATTTTAAGAAATACCGGTACCGGTACGAAAGAGAAAATTTGTGAAAAAGTAGATACCGGTACGGTTACTGATATACATGTTATACTCTATTCTGCTATTACCTGCATGATAAATCAGAAAATGTGGGACTCCCAGTCAATCCACACTTCACTTCTGTCTGGCTATGAGTACCAGTATTAAAAAATCTTGGAAGATTTCAGGCAGAATACCGGTACAGCTAACTCAGCGTCACTACTTATCAACTCATTTCCGAACTATCAAAGCTTGTACGGATTCGATTCGTTGGCAATGCACCACCAAGCATCAATTGAACGTGATTGCTTTAGGCCGCGAGCCGAGGCCATTTATCTTTCAGTTTCGTAGCGCACATCAGGTAACTACCTGAAAATGATTTTAAAATGTTCCTTAGAAATTTAGTAACAAATATTGCCTTGTTCCCACTTCCAAAAGTTGCACGTTTTACAGAAAAGACGCTTTTACTACAATAAATATGTGTTACCATCTGTCCTATTTTCTCTGCTTTTCCGGTATCATGGGCCAATGAACGCAGACTTCTGCACGACGTAACAGTCAAGTTAGTCAGCTGTAGGTGGATCCCCAGTGGTCGGATGAATATCAGATGTACTACAACTGCTCGCTTTTGCGTTGATTAGCCTTTCCATAGTTTTTTTCAGTTACCGGTAATATTAGTTCAGTTATTCTAAGGAGGTGTTGAAAAGTATAGGTAAGATATTAAACACTTGTATATCCTTACCATAAATAGCAATTTTAGTTGAGTACTAGCTCATAAGACGTTGTTAAATAGGTACGGTGCGGTAACTCCAAGGAAGGCTAGACCTAGAATAATATGTCACAAACAACGATATTTTCTGGCTTGCATGAAATGTTTATGATTAATTTAATGACTCTTCTTGACTATTCAGCAGACTTATACTACTATATAGGCCACAGCATATTTGGAAATAGAAATGAATGGCTGTTTCTGTAATGCATGGTTGTGTGAAAGAGAAGAAATTAATCAATTTTACTAATGTCGGTTGGTCTAAATCTAAATTCATAGAGTCGACAAGAACCTGGGAAGCAATGATAAGTTATGCCGGAGTGGAAAGAAAGGTAGCATTGGAAACGATTGAGAGGTGAGAAATGAAGTGGTAGACAAACAGTTGATGTTTCAAAATATAGTCTATAGTCCATACTCATACTGTCATAGGACATTTCAGACTGTGATATATCAAAATTTAGTGTAGATATAGTCTAGTAATGGTATGCAAACACTGCTGGACTGTAGAACATGCAATGAGCATATATACAGTATATACGCTCATTTAGTACATCAGATAAAATGCATTATGTATTCAAGGTATTAGTTAGTATTTAGGGGTATTTTTAAAATCATGCTGCTCCAAATATTATTTTCTTCCTTATTTTAGATACTGTACTACAAAAGAAAACGGCAATGTTCCACCAATCCGACCTAACACAGGCTCTGATCCCTGCTGCTATCAGTGCTATAAAATGGATTAAACAAGAAGTCTTGAAGCTTAAAGGTATATGAGAATCATAATAGTTGCAAACAGCTTAGATGGGCTATTCATATTGAAATACTTTAGCACTTTTCTGCAATTGGAACTGCCCATCAAATTCATGTTGGAGACTTCATTGAGATCTTCAATTCATTTTTTTCCCTCGACTATGAAGATCTTTTGAGGTTAACGAGGTATTAATAAATAAAGCTGAGGAATTTGAAGAGGATATGAATAATGTAAATGATACCAGGGCACGTCTATTTAACACTGTCAAACATAAGGATTATACTCTCCACCCAACAATGATTCACTGAAGAAGCATGTGGCCCTCAAATCAGTTCTTGAGTTGGCAAACTGCAAAGAAAAATAGTCAAAAATAATTTATAAAAGTGTGCCAAAATCAACTTAAATTGCACAGATTTTTGTTTTTGTATTGACTGCAGAAATCACAGTACACCTATAGAGGAAAAGTCGATTTTTGAGATAGTGGATTTCGAAAACAATTCAGAAGAAAGTGAATTAGATATTACAGTTTATTTAATAAGTATCATACATTTTTTTTTTTTTTCGGACATTTGTTAGTGTCGTAGTCCTGTTTCTAGAAATATTATTGCCTTTGTTCAAATACATAACCACATAAACTAAAAAAAGATTAATTGTAAATTGTAATATTTCTGTTCACTATGTTATGTACATATTGTACATTCATTTAATTTTCTTGACTTTTGCGGTAAATTTCAAAGTGAGAAATAACTGATTTATTTGTGTTTTCGTGCTCACGATGTTAATTTGTGACTTCATTGCTTAAAAATAAATACGTTTGATAGCTTCTATAAAATGGATGTAGCTTTTTATGCTGTTCTTGTTGTAAACTGCTTGTGGTTATTACATAAAATTTATTCTCAAATGTGAATCAGCGTTGTTGGTGTCGCTGCTTTCGAGGTCACTCCCGACTCCTGTCACACAATTAAAGTATTTTTTGTTGTTGGTTACATGTATGCCATATTTTTCGTAATCTACCTAATAAATTATGATTGACTGAGGAAGTGCGAGTTTGGTCAGGCAAAACATTACAGGAATACATTTGTGTTAGTGTGCTGTAGGGCTCTCGAATTGTATAGTTCTTATGTATGTGTTGTAAACTTATGGTTATTGAATTTCCGGGAACCTCTTATATTCAATTTCGCCCCAGGATTGTGGAACAAGCTGTAATGCGTTCATTATGTTCGTTTTCACACAAAACTGAAGAATTTATTTAGTTACCAGATGTGCGCTACGAAACTCATTTTCTGGGCGTTTTCATGGTTTCGTCTCACGGCCCATATCCGTGGTAAGGATCTACAAGTGTTTAATAATTTACTTATACATTTTTCAACAACGTCTTAGCATAACTTAACTAATAATAACTAAACAGGGCTATGGAAAGCCTGCCCAACTCAGCGCAAGGTCGAGCAGTAATAACTAATATTCATCCGCTCGCTAACAGCTGGTTTAATTCAATTGTTACGTCATGCAGAAGTCATTGTTCCTTGCCGAAAATGCAGAGAATATAGGACAGATCGTAGCACATATTTCTTGTAGTAAAAGCGTCTTTTCCGTAAAACGTGCAACTTTTGGAAGTGGGAACAAGGCAATATTTGTTACTAAATTTCTAAGGAACATTTTAAAATCATTTTCAGGTAGTTACCTGATGTGCGCTACGAAACTCACTTTCTAGGCGTTTTTCAGGGCCTCGGCTCGCGGCCTACTTTAATATACATTATTTAAACACAGTAACTTTGTTTAATTCTTGTAAATCACAAAATGGATATTTTTTTAAAAAGAAACGGTAACGAAGGAAACGAAAAGTTAGAGAGAAAATATGACTCTGATTACATCAAATGTGGTTTCATGAGAACAGGATATGACTTTGAGCCAAAACCACAATGTGTTGAGTGTCAATGCTACGTTGCGCATTAGCTTATCTCCCATCAAGCCTTCACTTGAACTGATTATATTCAATATGCAAGCACAAATTTTGCATTAATAGTAAATTGCTGTGGATAGCATAGGTTAATTAGGTTTGTCCATTTTTATCTAGAAATAATTTGTTCGATTGGTTGTTTACATGCCGCCTCACTCATCACATGCACAGCCGCTATTCAGTTCATTATTTTGTTTGTAAATAATTTAACGTTATTTGATTATGAAGTTAGACACCTGAATAATGACCAACCGTTTATATTCATATTTGTTTGTTGTGATTTGGTTTCTTTCTTCCTCGGTGAGTGAACGTGTTTAACACGTTATTTTTAGATTTTGTTCACTTTCCAGATTCTTTACTTTCCTCTTTTTTGTGTATTGTTTAATTTTTTTGCGAATGAATCAAAATAAAAATCTATCTGTGTTAGAAATTGTCTTCAAATATTATTACCGCGACGACTGTTTTGTGTTCCAAAAAGAAGGCGTAATATTAAATGCACTTCCAGATAAAATACTGAACGATTTTGACCACAAAAATTCGGGCAACGGGCCAGCTTTAGTTGAAGTTCACCAGTATTTGGTGTTATGGTCGTGCACAGACAAAATTCTATGCTTACCGGAAAGTGGTTGACTATAAAACAGTCTTTTTGTTTTTGAATTTGAACTCAGCAATAATAAAAAATTATTTATTGTTTTGTCAATATCCCAACCTATTTACAAATGAGTTTCGTGTGATTATGATATTTTTTATTATCATGTTTATTTGTTATTTGTGCTATTTATAGGATTATTCTCTATTTATTCACATCTATTTGTGATGTGTTCTTTGACCCTTGTGGGCGTGGATGAATGTACACAAGCGCCAGTTACAGCATATATATCAGAGCCCTTTCTCTAGGTTTTGCCAATTTTACGATAAGTGTTGTCTGTTTTTTGCTCTGTGTTATAGACGTGAGATCAAAATAAAATGGTATTGTATTATCTTCATTAAATGATTGATATCGCACCGTCGTACATTAAAGGAAAATCGCTTGTAATATTCAGTCAACCTTTGAACCTTTAACACCCTATATATTCCCTTAACCAATTTCCCACCTCTGTATCATACCGCCCTAGTTAATTTTATTTATGATTATCGGTACTGTTATTGATTAATAGTATTTAAAATAATTTGGACGTTATCTGGCTTCTATTTGATGAGTGAAGCAGGTCTAGCCCACCTCTTCATAGATCCAACTTGGCAATTCTGATTGGGCAATTTGGCACTAGGTGACTCCAATTGTAATCAGCTTGACGAGATCATTTGAGGAATACTTTTCTATCCACAGTACATTACTCTTGTTGACTAATTCGGTATCCAATATAGCAATCCTCATAAAATTATAAATTTGGTGTGGCAAAAGAATTTATTCAATTTTTTTTTTCATTTGTTTGTATATTTTTCTTTTTACTGAGTAATTTAATTGATTTCAAGTCTCGCTTTTTTCACTTCCGACACGATCATGTCTCGATGATTGTGTGTGTGTGCGTGCGTGCGTGCCTTAATTAGTTTTTTTTACTGTTGGATGAGCGAACACGTACTACTTCTTTTATCAATACCTTTCCATCTAAAATCTGTACGTTTCAAACCTTACTCGAGGTTTTGTTCGCTCCCCCTATAATCAGTTACTTTTATTTTTATATGGTATTTTATCGTCTATTGCTGATTATGAAGTCGAAATAAACTTATACCTATTATACTTGTAATATTCAGTCAACGATTGAAGATTCATCTTTTCAATGGCTATGAATAGATAACGAACATATTATTTTTTTTTATTTCTGTTATTCATATAGTGCCGTTTTCAGTATCTATTGGTGCTTTGTATTATGCATATTAGCTAAATTTTTAGAATGGGGGTTGAGGTCAAAAATATGTCATACAAATTTTGAATAATCTGCCTGCTTATAATATTAATTTTTGTCACTATCTGTGTCCAATTCGAACAACATTCTTTCAATATTGAAATGCCAATGCCCGCCTATCCGTATTTTTCTCGTAATGTATGCAAATCCAGTTCTATTATTTTCCATTTTAATAACAGCAATGCACCATGGAGTGTCCACAGCTCGATAACCTCTGCAGTTTCTCTTTGTAACTTCCTTCACCAGTGATTAACGATTTTTTGTAACTTTTTTGTAAATGTACCGTATGTTAGATTTTTACATGGTTATGAATGAATAAAAACGTATACCGGTAGGCTACCAATTTCACGTTCAGATTAGTTATTAATAATGATTAAATATCACCGATTAGTCGTTAACCCTTAAGTTAACACCCTTAACGTATACGTACCCACGACAAAAGTCGCTAGATAGCGGCGGGTACGTTGATGTACTCCACTGTTTTATTTAGCAATCGGTCGCAAACTGTTGGTCTAGTTTTTCTGGGTTTTAGTTTATTGATAAGAAGTCTTCTTCGAGATTAACATAAGCGACGGTAAAACTCGCTTTCGTTTACGACGGAAATTTTATTTGCGGCGGAACGAGGGAGTGTTTTTGAAATTTATGCAAATTTCGGTGTTTTTTGGGTGGTAATAGAAGACATATTATCCCTTCCATCTACCAAAGTATTTTGAGTTGGATCACGAAATTGCTACAGCAATATTATACTATTGTTTGCCAACCACGAAGCGGTAACAGTAAAGGATTTAGCGAATATTTCTATTTTTTATCACGGTTTGAAGTTTCAACTCCCAAGAAAAAAATGCCTTATCCGGTTTGTGACTCAGACCACCACTTTAAAAAAAACTTTTATTGCGAGCTCTTTAAATGAGCTTTCCAACGAGCCGTCAGTGGGCAGCAGAGGATCATTAATTTTTCGTTAGTCGATCGATTAGTTGTGGGGGTACAAATGCATAAAATCGGCGTAGCAATTACGATTATTTAATAAACAAGAGAGCTATGCTCAAATATATGGACACGTAGAGTCACATAATTTTGATGACGTCATAGCGAAAAAAGAAGTAATAGCCTTCTGGAGAAAATTTTTATCTTTAACCACTAAAAATTTCAAAGCAATTGGTCCAGTATTCGAAGAGAAAAGCGACTTTTTAAAAACGTGTCAAGCGGTACTGAGTTAGCAGTCAGGCAGCATCTTACCTGTACACTGTAGGCCATATACGGTAATTGATCACAGAACAGTTGTTCCCTTGCAAATTTTATGTTGTTTACACTTTAGGACAGATAATTGATCACAGAACAATTCTTCCCTTTCAAATTTTATGTTGTTTCCAGTAGACTCTCATCAAAATAAACAAATATAGTAGGCTACAAGTGCTACAACGCTTGCCTTACTGCACTGGTAGGACCGTGAAAGAATAAGTTACGGTAATTTCATTGTGGTAAGACCCCGGTACCGGCACCAGTACCAGTATCGTACTTACGTACTGAGCTACCAGTACCGGTTAGCAGTCAGCCAGCATCTTACCTGTACACTGTAGGCCATATACGGTAATTGATCACAGAACAGTTGTTCCCTTGCAAATTTTATGTTATTTACACTTTAGGACAGATAATTGATCACAGAACAATTCTTCCCTTTCAAATTTTATGTTGTTTCCAGTAGACTCTCATCAAAATAAACAAATATAGTAGGCTACAAGTGCTACAACGCTTGCATTACTGCACTGGTAGGACCGTGAAAGAATAAGTTACGGTAATTTCATTGTGGTAAGACACCGGTACCGGCACCAGCACCAGTACCAGTATCGTACTTACGTACTGAGCTACCAGTACCGGTACCGAACCTGTAGGTCTGATATTCCGTTCCGCATACGATAGGCTATAAAACTTGCATTGCAGCATTAGTAATACCGCGGAAGGAATAAGTCAATTTCACTGCGTTACGGCACCGGTATGGCAACTTACCAGTACCGACCTACAGTAGCTGTAGTACTGAGCAAGACAATCGATCGCGAAACCGCTTGAAATAAGTGTAAAACAGTGTTCCCATGAGTAAAAATAAATACCGCGAAATTTTGTATGAAATATCATATCTCATAGGATTCATATAAAATTTAAGAATAAACAAAAGTAATAGCCTTCTAGCGAAAAAATTAATCTTCAACCACTGAAAATTTCAAAGCAATTGGTCCAGTATTCGAAGAGAAAAGCGACTTTTTAAAAACGTGTCAAAGAACAAGAACAACAACAACATAATATTGAAACGATCGTTATGTCCACTACGTGTCCAAAAATAAAAATCGCATGGAAAGGGTTAACCACGGTTTACCGAGTTTTCGAAAAACAACTCATTGGACATAAGATTAATAACTACATAAATCGGCGTTGCTACTGTTTACCCGAAATCAACAAATTACTAATCTGCCTAGTAGCCTACCTACTCTTTCCAACTTCGAGCAAGGCCGAAATTTTTGCCCACGCAGGTCCTTAGGTCCACTCATGTGTCCAATAAGAGTAATAATACTTCTTTCGCTCAGACAGAATTCAAGCATTGTTCTAAATATTGCCCTGTCCTTGTGGCTTTGCGGTAATCAGTAATTCAAAATACCCAAGTACGTTTTTGTTAGTATAGTAGTCCAATAGCCAAAATTGTTTTTTTAATTTGTGGGTCTTACTCCTCACTTTCAAATCTCATCATTTAAAAATTGATTTCACGGAAAAAAAATTAATTACTTTTATTTTCTTCATTTTTTTGTTTGTTTTTTCAAATTTTGTGTCGTGAACTTCAACCATTTCTAATAATCTTATTTTACTGTGAATTTATCAGCGTAAACTTGGAGGGGGCTGACTTCGATGACCGCATGGTCGTATCGCTCCTTCCAGTCTACACCGAAAAAAGCGTACTTTTTTATAGCCACTATTTATTTATTATTATGACTGTTTTTTTTCTGGTTGACGAAATAAATCTCTCTCTCTCTCTCTCTCTGCAATAATGCTAAGATAGTTGGCCCTTAGTTGGCCCCGTTGCGGGTTGAGGAGTTTGCCTGCTTTGCTTTGTTTGTTCCAAAAATCAGTAGTGAATGAAATACGGTAACTTTATTGTCCATCCTATCCTATCCAATGCGGTATATTTTCCAAGAAGCGATAGACTGGGCTGAAATTAGCTACCGGTATCAGTATCCCGGAGCAGCACGTGGTTAAATACTTTTAATAAAAATGATAATTTTAAACATGTAAACATAGTTACCCCACAATCTGACAATGATTGTGAGGTAACTACAGAACTATGGTGTAAACCATAAGGGCCAACTATCAAGCATTATTTAACTCAAACCCCATTGTGGTCGGGCAGTCGGGGATATTTGTAGAACAAAAAGTCTTTGTACTCACTGTACCTGTACCGACTTGGACAATGACAGACCCATCGCCATCGACCGTATAATATGATTAATTTCTACATTAGATTGAAAGTTGAACAAGGTTATGTATTACAATATTATGTGGTGTAAACAGGACAGGACAGGGAAAACTAATCAGCTTATTTTTAAATTTCAGATAAATATGCCTAACACTGATGAATTAATTCATGCTCTCAAATGTGCCACAGACCAAAACCCTGCCGTTCTGAAACCGGCTGAAGATTGGTTACAATCACATGAATGTGATGAAACATTTTATATTATACTAAGCCAAATAGCTCATACAACTGGTATTGAGTGGACTGTCCGGTGGATTGCAGTTGTTTATTTAAAAAATGGGATTGATAAGTACTGGAGATCATATGCATCTGGATCTATCACATCTGAAAATAAAGCTAAGATTAAATCTAATTTACTTCAATGCATGGAAGAACCTATTAATCAAATAGCAGTTCAGTCTGCAGTTGTCATCGCCAAGATTGCAAGATTTGATTATCCCGGTGAATGGAACGACTTGATCCCTATTTTAATGCTTGGAATATCATCATCGAAAAATTTGCTCCATCAAAGTAGATGTATCCTGACGTTGAAACATGTGTTAAAAATGATTTCCTCAAAGCGTTTGCCTCATGCTAAAAAAGTATTTCATGATTTATGTAAATCAATATTTCAAGATGTATTTCAGTATTGGATGACTAATCATTCTTCTACCAAAGCTGCGATCCTTGACTCACAGAAACTAGATATTTCAGTTGTTAAAAATTTAACTGATAATCTTTGCTCATTGACTAAGATGGTTCGATATATGATTCAGGAATATAATATGGAAAGCATTGAAATATTATTGAATAGTATTTTGAAGAATCTTTTTGAAACTATTGAAATGCTGAAATCATGTATAAGTTCTTTGGATATTCATGAAAATTGTTTTAAAACTGCGATATCTATTGTTAAAATGTTGCAGTCATTATTGCTAATTGGTACAGAGTCATATCAGCTGGGTGCGCAAAGAGTTATGGGTGTTCTTTGTAATCAAATCCATACATATATACTGGAATCTCATTCTTCGAATGATGACAATGGGAGAAAGTTTATAGTGAAATGCATGAACACTTGTAAATGTATATTGGACAACTCCTCATTCATCGAAACATTTTCAAGTGATAGACCAGAAACAAATAACATTGCAGCTCAACTTGAAAAGCTATTCCATTTTCTTGTGTTGCGATATCTTCCTCTTGGAGAGGAGGATTTGGCATTCTGGGAAGAAGACGCTGAAAACTTTTGTAATGAAGAAGTTGGAGAATGTTGGAAATTCAACTTGAGGCCATCTGCTGAAATACTTGCATTAACACTATTGAAAAAATTTCCAGATATTTTAGTTCCTTCACTTTTGAGCATGCTTCGAGCCATACAAGACATTGATATTCACAGTGTATCGACAGCAATTTCTGAGAATAATCCAATTCTTCAATCTTTGTTTGACGGTTGTTCATCACCCCTTGAATGTATGCTCAGAAAGGAGGCTGTGTATTACATGATAGGCCTTGGAGTATATGAGGTGCTGGATATCATAAATTTTGAGGAATGGCTGGTTAATAAATTGCTACCGGAAATCAAATCCATACAGTCAGACAGCCATAGTAAACTTCTACATAGGCGTGTGTTGTGGCTCATTTCACAATGGGCTGAAGTGAAACCGTCTGATGAACTACGTCCAATTTTGTATGGATTTGTCGTGTCTTCATTGAATAGAACATTTGATATGGCAGTACGGTTAACTGCTTCATCAACAATACAATTTTTACTCGACGATTTTGAGTTTGATATTTCCCTGTTTAAAGAACACCAAGATTCTTGTTTTGAGGGACTGTATAACTTATTAAGTGACGCTGAAAATTGTGATACCAAAATGAGAGTTTTGAATGTTTTCGCTTTCCTCATTGAACGATTGGGTTCTCTTGTGTTACCTTATGAGCAGAAAATTTCTAACATCATCCCACCTATATGGGAGCATGCAGTTAGAGATAATCATGATATGCTTAAATGTGCAATCATGAGCACAATGTCCCAATTTATTTATGCACTGAAAGAAAACAGTTCATCTGTAAGCCATCTTACATTACCCCTTGTTCAAGAAAGTACAGACTTAAACAATAAAAGTCATATTTATCTTTTAGAAGATGGTCTGGATCTATGGCTTGCTGCTTTGCAAAATTGTGGGGAACCGAATGCAGGATTGTTTAATATTTTTCCCAATGTCCTGGGTCTTCTGGAATACAGTTCAGAGACGATAAAAACATGTTTTCTCATAATTGAAGCTTATGTAATACTATTCCGAGATAATCTGATTGCAAAGTATGGTTCTATAATCGGAAAAAGCTTTATTAATATTGCTACTGATGTAAGGAATGAATGCTTAGTGCTAATGAGCAATTTAGTTCTTACTGTTTTTCAAGTCATGCCAAAGGATGCAACTCTACCATGCATGCAATACTGTAAAGATATTATAAGGAATAGTTTTCATGAGAAAGATTCCATCTTACTGTCAGCTAATTTAACTCTTGTTGCACATATTTTGCTTGTAAACCCTGGTCAATTTTGGCAGCTCATTCAATTAATAAGCACTGAAAGTGGTGAAAATTTTGCTGAAGTGGCCCAAGGTTTTCTTAAAGTTTGGTGTGAAAATATGGATGCCATTGTTGATATCGACAAGAAGAAATTATCAGCTTTAGCATTGATATCTACTTTGTCTGCACTGACCGATTTTCCATTTATTGCTGAATGTTTTGCAGACATTGTTTGCGTGCTGGTTCAAGTTTTGTATGATGTGTGTGATGAGCATCGAGTAGACTCACTTGTTAATGATGCAGATCAAGATGTTTTTGAGACTAAACAAGAACAGGAAGAATGTGCACACGATAAGCGAAAAAGACTTTTGCGAAAGTCTAGCATTGTTACTAATACATCGTTACCACAATTTGCTTCACAAAAATTTAACTTTCTAAAAGTCAGTTTTGCTGAACAGTTTTTCATAAATTTAATGTCGACCGTTGATTCACAAACTGTTAGTGAATTGCGATCATTTTTGTCTTAAAAATTTATACCGTAATCATGCTGTTTGCGAACGACATTTATTACAAAAGTCAGTGAAATGGTATGTTTTACAGTTATTATTTTTTGGTAAGTCACTGCCAATGAATGTTTTACAATCACAGCATGTCGAATAATCGCAACACTGCCTTCAACGCCACCTTTTCGACAGACCTTTTGTCATGTATGTATGTTTATTCGTCTCGCAAAATAAAAGAATTAGTAATTATAAATACTGAAGACTGGATGTATGCACAAGACCATACTGGCCTAAAACACGAATATTCGCCATACACACCCTTTTGATATGTATAAATTATAATACGGTAAATCAAATACTGCCAGGCCAATGGCAAATCGTCGACAGGTTGCAACATAAAATTCTTTATGTGACAAACACCTATGCATAGTCTGAATGCGTGATTGTTTCTAAACCTCAAAAAAGTTCTAATTTTTTTACTTAATCAGTTACAACGGCTATAGTTATTTATAGTACATATCCACTCTTAACCTTGTGTATAGGCGTTGGAGTAGACGCGTAACGATTTTGTTCTGCACTCTTGATAATACATAAAGGGCGATTTTAGGTCGACAAGGAAATGGCTGTTTCGATATCAATAAAATATTTCCTTTTTATCTTCTTGTTGATCACATGAGATGCAAACGAATGATTTTACAATTGGTGGTTATATATACCTCACTCGAAAATCGGAAGTAAAATGCATGGCATATGTAGCTCAACTTTCAGTTTATGCAGCCCATTCCATAGGTTAAACTAAAATCGCCATGCCCTTTTACGAGCAAGGATGAAATAACGCTTCGCATGATCTTCATAAAACAACGCTGGTCTGTATTCTACTACTAAAACCAATCAGGTGTTAGCAATACACAGATATATTTTGAAGTCAATATCTTATTCATCATTTATCCACAAAAAACGAGAACATGATATAAATGTTTTCACATGGTTAATAATAATCTATCGGGAATGGCATTCTTTTTCCAAATAACGATATTAGTAAAAATACAAGTTAATTGAATATAAGTTTTGAGAAGAATATTTGACCTGTTACGAATCTAATGTCTTGTGATGTTTCACCGTAGTCGACGTACGTGTACACTATTGTAGCAGATTATGTGAGATATTTTAGCAGCAATGGAACTTTACAATTAAATTTAGGCTTTTATCGAGTGATAAACACGGACATTATGAACATGGACGACATATTTTCATTCAATATTATAATGCAAGATATGATGAAGACTGGCATGTACTGACAAACTAAAGGAACTGAAATATAAATGTTAATCTGAGAAAATGTTTTCAAGGAGCAAGGTCAGTAGTAGATTTTCGTTTTCGTGCAAAATATGAGGGTATGTTCAATAATAATAAAGTAATTATTTAGTTTTAATATTTTGTAGCGAACAGTATGAAATTTAATTCTTGGAATATTTTGAGCAACATTCCAAATCACGAATTGTTCCGATTGTTTTGAGAGAAGCAATTCCATAAACATATTGCTTGTAGTTTTCGGGAAACCTCATTACAACTTTTAAATTGTCGTTGAATTAACCATGATCATCATTATTATACTTAATTACGGATCAGGACGGCACATATATATGGAATCCAGGTCCAGCCCAATGAATTCATGCTCAGACTATATTAAGGGAAGTTACATTGATCATTTAACTTTCGAAAGCCGAAATGAAATTAGCTATGTCCTATACAACTTATTGAGGAAAATTTCTTCGCTCCTCAGTATCTTTTCCGACAATTGATAATTCAAATACGGATATATATTATTGATATGCATTATCCATTCCAGTGCTCCAATCGGTGTATCCCGGGACGATGGTGCGTTGAGGACAGACAATGCTATGTGTGGCATGGGATAGCTAGACTCTTTTTTAATACGCATGTTTTTTTTTAAATACACTTTTTCAATCTAAATTTGTACGCTTTTATACGTTCGATTATCATAGATTTTATGAAAATTATTGACACGTTCACTTCAGTCGAGTTTAATAAACTCAGTGTTAACAAAAACGGAGATCTTCTACTGAAATTGCTATTTGAAAACATTTTTTTGGGTAACATTTATATTTAAATCCTTTCAGTTTGTCGGAACATGTCAGTGTTCATTATGTCTTGCATTATAATATTGACTGAAACAATGCACGGAGTCATATAGCCAATGATCATTTTTATAATGTCCTTACACATCCGATTGTTCTAACTTTTATAAATGCTTATTTATTTATGTCAGAGTGTTTTGCCACGGAAAGATGTGTAAAATACAGTGGCGGCGCGTGGTCATTTTGACAACCGGGGCAAGCTACTGCGGGACCAAGTCACCCCCATCTACAGGGACAGGATGAGCGCTGTAAGTTCTCCCATCATTTTATGAGTATAAAAACCATTCCATCGGTAACAACCAATCGGCAAAAGCGACAATTTTTTAACGATAAGAAAGTGTCTTTAAAACCGGTCCAAGTCAAGGGATTAATAAATATAGACATAGTTTATTTTGAAACCTCTTTCAAAAGGAAAGGTAATATTTACCCAGATAAATACAATGACATATTAACAGAAACTTCGGGAAAGCAGACAAAACCTAAAATAAGGTTTAAAACGTTACTATGAAGAAAGGAAAGTTATGCAAAGATAAGGACATGCGTCGCTCACTCATAGATATATATGCTGCTAGACTTCTACTGCTTGAACATATATGCAACACGCCGCGGTTTCTTGGAAGCAAAATGCTCAATAACGCGCTGATTAAAGTCATGCATCCCAGAAATAACGTCTCTGTGAATGGATAAAACAGCCAAGGAATTTAATCTATCTTGCTTCATTGTGTTTCTGAGATACGTTTTAATACGCTTCAGCGTGCTGAATGTTCGCTCTGCGTCGGCGGAAGAAATAGGCGTCGTCAAAATGAAGTCCAGAAATTTTGCAGACGCCGCAAAGGTAGTTACTAGAGTGTTATCTATGAGGAACCCATAGAGCGCGCAAGTTGATGTGATGTTCAAAAAAGTTTGATTGGTGTATATACATCGCAATTCATTTTCCAATTTACCCACGTTTATCATGGGGTAAAATTTGGAGACAGTAGCCAACAAATGGATGGGGAATTGACGTGCAAATTTTGAAAAATTTTTGGGGTTCATCAAAGAGAACGCGGCAAGGTGTTCAGTGCGCAGACGATCGCCTATTTGATTCACCAGAATGTCACAGCATTCCTTTGCAGACAAAATCAAACGCTGCGTTGTTTGCCCGCGGCGTAAAGAAGCACTCCATGCGTCGTCGTATTTTATTGTTTCCCGGATACGAGATACAGCATCGCAGAAGTCTGAAATACACGACTGCACAGACGCTCCATCCATTAGCCTCGACTGCAATGCGCCGTATAATACATCCACGTGATAGAATATTGTGGAGAAAAAAGCGAGAAAAAATGAAAACTCACCATCTTCTAGCAGACGCTTTAGACCTGCCGCCTCCCTCACAGAGCGTTCGTCCCAAACCGGAGAGCTCTGGATGCCATTGAAACACTCAATGAGCTCAGACCTAATTTCGGACACGCCCTGCACCACGCGTGATTGGAAGTTTCAACGTGTTGGTGCACAAGCTGGGAGACGGCGCCTACATATCTGGCGAAGGAGGTCAGAGCGCTACGGCGAAACGGAAAAAAATGAAGAAAACCCCGAAACATTTGCAAAAAATATACGGACGAGAGGGGTATCAAGACACATATTTTTAATAACGAGGTTAAATTGGTGTGCATAACAATGTAAAAAATGCGCATGAGGAAAATCTTCTTTTATATAAACTTGAACACCATGTTTCGACCCACTCATGACTGCCGCGCCGTCATAAGTTTGAGCTATCAATTTTGACTTCGCGTTGTAAGGCTGTAACACTTCTTTCAGTACAGCCGATATCCCGCAAGCCGTGCGATCAACGATTGGTACAAAGCTGTGAAATCTCTCGGTAGGTTTACCATCTTTCACAAACCGAAAAATCACAGCCAGTTGGGAAACGCACGTGATGTCAGTTGTCTCGTCAGACTGAATCGAAAGGAACTGGCAATTCTCAATTTCCAGAGCCAAATGTTGTAAATAAATTTTATACATTGAGTCGAGCAAATCATTTTGGATATCCTTAGATGTCCCTTTCGAAACAGTTGCGGCATCAAGATGATCTCTCAATACTGTATCTAGGGATGCGGTGTATTCCACCATATCCAAAAATACCCCTCTATTAGAAGAGCCAGCCCGTTCATCGTGCCCACGGAGGGACAGCTCGTGACAACCAATGAACTTCAAAACATCTATCAATCGACCGAGAACATGGCGGTTTTTCTTGACGTTTTGGTTGTGCCGACGAATAGAAACCGCGCGTCCTTCATCCAACTGTGCTGCAATATTAACATTTCCGATGTTCGGTATTTTACTGCATTGTCCAGATGCTCCATGGAAGATCGATAATCCCTGGCACGCTCGGAAAGATTTTTAAGATCTCTGAAACCAAATTTACACCAACGTGAGTCACGGGCAGTAGCGGAAAGTAGGCAATAAAAACAAAAAAGTGCATTTTTGTCCTCGCTGTAACACAACCATTCGTGTTTTTTATACCAAGTTTCTGCGCAGAATGTACGCCGACGCTTTCCTCCGTCATGGGATTGTTCCAGTGAACAATTTTTTGTTTGATAAGGCCCAAGACGTTGTACCACCTCTAATTTTTGTTCCAGCGGCAGCAGCGAAAACGGAGTGCGAAGTAGTGCATCAACCTTATTCATTATGAGGTCTAAGGCTAAGAAATGCGAAGCCGGAAAGAAGTGAGGAGCTCAAAAGGAATGTGGAAAATCGAAAGCAAATGGACTAAAGGTCTCTAACTGATTCAAATAGCGAAACAAGCGACAAAAACGAAGGCGAGGAAACTATCAACTCTTCAAGCAACCAACGAACGAGAAGGAATGCGTGTATATGTCAACACGTTGTTGTAAGAAACGTCGGCATTGTGTCGTCATAATTTCGAGGCTAGCCCCGATGATTTAGTAAAAGAAACAGAAAACAAACGAGACAAACGCGGCGAGTGGAAGATAAAAGAGAGAATACGATATACAATGAGCAACCGGGGCAAAATCGGCGTCGCCCCGTCGACGTTCGGCGAAGGCTTTGCGAGCGAAAAATGAACCATGTCGGGAGAATATGTCTAGTGTAGACAGTCTGTGCAACCGATATTGAGGTATTTTTCGAATATTTTTTATTATACCGAAAAAACAACCTATTGGCCCTATTGTCGCGCCGCCACTGGTAAAATATCTATCAGTGATTGATGTGTTGGCCTATTTCTTAGAATTTATAGTATTATATTTCTACATTATGGCAGTGAAAGGCCGTTGAGCCAGCACTGCCCGGAATGATGCGTTTATTTATTTCCCCTCATGTTATCTGGCTACCGGAAGCGTATTTTGATATCTAAACTCTCAGCCCAAAGCCTTTCATCAGCCAGACAGCCCCATGATCATTGAAGCTTGCCTGGGTCTTTATTATTACACTCTGCATGTGTTATATTATAGTAAACAAAATGTCACAGATGCCATTGAATCAGCCAATTACTATACCTTGATTGATGATACTTATTTCAAACCTGGGCTTTCCTCATGAGGATAACATCGGATCGTCTCAATATAATTATGTACATATATATATATTTCAATATAGGCGTATGAAATCATAATAGAGATCTCATTCTCATAATAGTTTGAAAAACTAATTATTCATAAAATTATAATTGCAAAATGTATATGTAATGAAACACAGAAAATTATCACACGTATATTACAAACATATATTTGTTACTTATGATCTGAATTTCTAATTACAGGATGTCGATGATAAAACATATCTATAAAGAGAAACAAACGTTATCAAAATTAAAATATCAGTATTTCGGTGCAGCTGATTCCTCACTATGGTGATTCCCTTTAGACCTGAAAAATTGTAAAGATAAACATGAAGTCGAAAATACAACGCTTAATCAGAAGAGTAAAGGGCCGACTGTTCCCCCCTGCCTTACATTGCATACTTGACTCGAAAATCGTTGGCATATCATCCCGAGCTTAATATATATACTTCCTATAACTTGTATATTTCACGAAGCTTTGCATCGAAATTCGGAAGGCAGACGTGACAATAGTGAATTATAATATAGTAACGCTTGTGGCAAAAAAATTCATTTATAACATGTTTAAAAATCATACCTTGGGTGGTGGGTCGGACTGAAAGGCAACATTAGCCTGTCCAGTCATGGGTGGTGCGTACTGAGCTGTATACATCGGAGGTTGGTTCATGTGTGGTGGCACAGTTGAGGAATGAGGTTGACCTTGGATAGAGTAAAATGTTAAAAGTGATCGTACCTGCCGGAGCATCAGAACATTTATTGATTACAAAGTGGACCTATAGTTTGTTTTGTTTGTAGTATGTTGTTGTTGTTCTTCTTGTGAAAAATATATATATAACCACTGGACTAACCACTTTTTCAGTGATTAAAATGGTTGTTGTCGTTAGAAGGCCCTCATTTTTTCTTTGTACTTAAATTTCCTATAAGATCCGACATTTTGTTACGTCATCTGGCTGTTTTAATTTCATTCACCGTTTTTATTCCGCCAAGCGTGACGGCCTACTTCTACGCTGTTATTGGGCATTCGTGTCCATATACTTGAGCTTTGTCCCTTTGTTAAATAAAATTATGTATTAAGCTGTTGATTCTAGTTAGATATATACATTTTAACTGCGTTTTATTTTTTGGGGCCGTAAAGATGTAACGGTAAATGCCATGGCATAATTCGTATATATTTCGATAATTTGTTAGGTAATTAAGGTTTCCTGAATAAAATAAATGAATCAGATATTGTATTAGTATATATATGTTTTTATCATCCGTGACATAGCCTACCTTGGAAAATAACCGTTTGTCCATTAGCCAGAGTAACAGCATTTGGCTGTCCGACTGGGAAAACAGCAACGTTCTGTCAAATAAAAGTACACAGAATGAGTTTGTACTATTTTCAACTGTAACAGAAATTTAATGACGTTCAAGAGCTAAAAATGTTACAAAAACTGAAGACTTCAATCATGCAATGTAGTTTACTTGTTGGGAGCCGTATGGATCACAGCAACATCCTCTGCAACAACATCCGCGAGCAATTCCAGAATACGAGCTACTGACGATGAACAGGATGAATAAAATAAACCAAAAGAACGATGCAATGGAGTGTAGAATGATGAGAGCTACGGAGTGCTGTAAACAAAAACTTTGATGGTTGACTAATGTATTTGGACCAGATTGGAATCTATCAATTGGTTAATACCAGGTATTCTTTTTTGACATGACCGGAGTCATATGTTTCCAAGATATATATTTTGATATATATATACAAAATAATATTGTAATATATTTTTACAAGAAAGCAAAAATTGGATTAGCATCTGCATTTAATACAGTAATTAAAGTTTCAATTACTATCTAGCACACAAACTAGAATATTTTCAGAGGTACTTATATATATATATATATATATACAAATACCACGATTGGCCTTACTCATTTTCCATGAACTGTATACATGATATAAAGCTCTATTTTATCTTTCCTCAAACAAGGATATACTCACATAGCTCACAAGAGTAGCGGTAATTTCCAATCCAAGAAGGAAGAGCGAGACGAGGATTCCGATTACAGACAAAGTAAGATTTGTAGTAATCTGTGATATATATGTGTAAATATTGTCATTATTCATGGTACAGTTAGTTGTTGCTTGGAAACGGACTTCGAAACCCGAGTCCTGGATCGCAAATATATCTACTCCGAATACCGAAACCGGACACACATTTATAAATGACCACTCTAAAATTCTTTTTCGTTCTTCAAAAGAAAATTGTAAATTTAATCATCAATCAAGTCTAACTCTTACTCAACTACCACCAAAAAGATACCAGATACTCCACAGCTTTGATTGGTGATATAATTATATAAAACGTACCGTACAAGTAGAAGGGCTGCAGCCTTGAGCGAGTCCAAAACATGAAAACAGAATCACCTGCAATAAACAATAATTTTCATTAAATATTTCTACCACGATTCAATGGTTTTAGATTCAAACAATCAAATTCAGGGTTAGAGAAGAAACTAATAATGACGAAATATACAGTTGCATTTTGCATCACGAGAAGTAAAAGGTTGTAAACTCGTAATATTAAGTTAAAAGTTGGCTTAAGGGCAGCTTAAAAATGATTTCTACATACCAAAGCTCCTCCCCATATATTAGTTCCCATCTTCGACCATATTCCATAGTAGTAGTAATAATAGTCGCCATAATATGGGTAGTCACATCCCATTTCACTGGTACAAACTGGCAGTATTGCAATGCCAAGGCCAACCAAACAGATCCCGAATATAAGTTCTGTTACCTGAAAATATGAATAAAAAACAAATTTATTCGGATTCGTCCCTGCGTATCTGAAAAATAACCACAATTGCAACCAGAGCGATGGAAATTTATAAAACAAAGTCTGTAAGCGCGCACTTAGAAAAACTTGAATAAAAACACCAGTAAAGTGAGCATTATGTTGGTTTGCAGTGTTTTCCTGATTGAAAATTTCTATCATGGTATTACAATATTTGACTGATAAAGAATAATACTTACGGCCACTCCTATAACGGAGCATTTTGTCTTTTTAGCGTACTCAATGTTAGTACCACTTGTTGGGCGTGTTTGTACATAGCATATACCAGTAGGCGGAGAAGCGCAAATATTCCACGATGCTGGTACGTTCGTCATTTTTCTTATTTTCTTCAGATAAGAAAATTTTAATCTAATTTATCAATTTATATAATATATCTAGTATTGCAAAAATAATCACTGGTAGTGATTAATGAATAGAAATCGGCATTCGAGTTCGAGCCCTTCGAATTTGCTGTATATACACATTGACCGATTGTGTGTTTGAAAAATTTATATATATATTCCAAAATATCTGATCACACTATCATTATAAGGCACTAAGAATATGAATTAAAAGTCGCATGTGCGTTTTGAACTGTCCGACTAAACTCAAGCAGAAATTTTACTCAGAGTACAGAATTTTAAGATTCCCATGAAAAAATATGTTCATATAGCTAACAGTATATACATATGTATATTGCCTATTTCTGGACGTTAAAACTTAGTTGATAAAGGCAGTAACTAGTTATTTTAAAACCAAATATTAAATACTCTTCCTCCAATTTGCTTCGATATAATCAGGCAACTATTTTAGAATTCAGCAATACAAAAATGATGCAGCGTCGAAACAACAACAGCGATCGACCATATTATATTATATGAGATTTCGAAATATTTACCAGAAATAGCATCTGACACTATTTGTCCGCAAACAAACTGTGGGGGATTATTACATCGCGCTATACGGACTATGAAAAAGTCCATTTTTCATTTTGTTCTGTACTAGAGAATCTCCATTTAAATGAATTTAGAATTTATTTTTTTGTTGGATTTGCAAAATAATTTTCACGATAGTACATAATATTTCCCCCCTAAAATTAAGAATTTATGTAAGTATTGCTTTATCAGGGCATAAAATTCTCATATTTCTACCACTATTTTTTATAGTGTGCACAGAGTCACAGGATATAAGTTAATTTTTAACGTTTGTGTATCTCACGTTTATATATTAAAATAGATGTAACATACAGAAAACAATTGGACTTCTATGGCCCATACTCAAAAAAATTGTTCCATTAAAATGTTTAAGAGACTGTTGCATGATTAAATACCGTCAAGTGTTTACGTCACGTGGGTAATGAGAAAACTATCCTGTAAACAAATGACGTCTTATTTTTTCATTCACACTGTGTTACCGGTTTAAAAACTGTTTTCTTTGTAAAAAGGCCTGAATACACGGTGTGGCGCAGAGGTAAGTTAACAGTTATAAAATTAATTCTTGATAGCTGTTAGCCTACTTCTGAGCGGCACAATGTAATTAGAATAAAGACATAACCAAAACAGGTTAATACTTTGTACAGATTATTTAAATTGATAAGCTCAGAAGCTTGTTGCTATCGCTGAACATTCAAAAGCTCAATACAACACGTATGTCTACACCAGGAATGTACGAATCGTGGGCCAGTGCGACGCTATGGCAAGCTTCATATGCGGCTGATCCATATAGAAAGTGGTGATGGTTGTTGGTTGACATATTTCAGGATTTTCTAATGGAAATTATTGAAAAATATATCAATGTAGAAACAAACTAGAGTCTATCTGAAAAAGTGTCCTTGCTTGCCGAAATGCATGTCAATCCTGGTTTATATTTTATACTTGCAATCCATTACATTGATTACAAAAATAGCATATCACATATTGCCTTTTTCACGAAGTGAATACTTTTGTACATATACTTTTGCTCCGAATAACGTCCTGGCCAACCAACCTTGAATTCCTGAGTAAATTGGTTTTAAATCAAATACAAATTTGCAAAATACATTTTGTCGATCTACCTCTAAGAGTCGTAACAGAGTGGTATAAAATTTTCAATGATAGTCTTCAATAAACTTTCCGAAATTGGCCACAGACGTGTATTAAGACAGAATTGAAGTTATTGAGCTCCAAACCTACTCCCAAAACGATGAAAATACAAAATAGGTATGGCGTAAAATAAAAAAAGGTAAATAAATAAATATGCATTATCCATTCCAGTGCTCCAATCGGTGTATCACGGGACGATGGTGCGTTGAGGACAGACAATGTTATGTGTTGTGGCATGGGATAGCTAGACTCTTTTTTTTAATACGCATGTTTTTTTAAATACACTATTTCAATCCAAATTTGTACGCTTTTATATGTTCGATTATCATAGATTTTTGATAATTATTGAGACGTTCACTTCAGTCGAGTTTAATAAACTCAGTGTTAACAAAAACGGAGATCTTCTACTGAATTTGCTATTTGAAAACATTTTTTTGGAGTAGGATTTATATTTAAATCCTTTCAATTTGTCAGAAATGTCAGTGTTCATTATGTCTTGCATTACAATATTGACTGAAACAATGCATGGAGTCATATAGCCAATGATCATTTTTATAATGTCCATACACATCCGATTGTTCTAACTTTTATAAATACTTATTTATTTATGTCAGAGTATTTTGCCACGAAAAGATGTGTAAAATATCTATCAGTGATTGATGTGTTGGCCTATTTCTTAGATTTTATAATATTCTACTTCTACATTATGGCAGTGAAAGACCGTTGAGCCAGCACAGCCCGGAATGATGTGTTTATTTATTTCCGCTCATGTTATCTGGCTACCGGAAGCGTATTTTGATACCTAAACTCTCAGCCCAAAGCCTTTCAACAGTCAAGCAGCCTCATGATCATTGAAGCTTGCCTGGGTCTTTTTTATTACACTCTGCATAGGTTATATTATAGTAAAATAAATGTCACAGATGCCATTGAATCAGCCAATTACTATACCTTCATTGATGATACTTATTTCAAACCTGGGCTTTCCTCGTGAGGATAACAACGGATCGTCTCAATATAATTATGTAAATATATATATTTCAACATAGGCGTATGAAAGCATAATAGAGATCTCATTCTCATATTAGTTTGAAAAACTAATTATTCATAAAATTATATTTGCAAAATAATATAATTGCACAGAAAATTATCACATTTATATTACAAACATATATTCGTTACTTATGATCTGAATTTCTAATTACAAGATGTCGATGATAAAACATATCTATAAAGAGCAACATACGTTATCAAAATTAAATTGTCAGTATTTCGGTGCAGCTGATTCCTCACTATGGTGATTCCCTTTAGACCTGAAAAATTGTAAAGATAAACATGAAGTCGAAAATACAACGCTTAATCAGAAGAGTAAAGGGCCGACTGTTCCCCCCTGCCTTACATTGCATACTTGACTCGAAAATCGTTGGCGTATCATCCCGGCTATAATATACTTCCTATAACTTGTATATTTCACAAAGCCTTACATCGAAATTCGGAAGGCAGACGTGACAATAGATATCAATTTATAAAGTTTATTATGACTTTTATTTGAGGTAATGCTACCGAAATTGAGTGAAAAAGTACTGCCTCAATATGAGTGAATCTGGTTTTTTGAATTATAATATAGTAACGCTTGTGGCCAAAAAGGTCATTTACAACATGTTTAAAAATCATACCTTGGGTGGTGGGTCGGACTGGAAGGCAACATTAGCCTGTCCAGTCATGGATGGTGCGTACTGAGCTGTATACATCGGAGGTTGGTTCATGTGTGGTGGCACAGTTGAGGAATGAGGTTGACCTTGGATAGAATAAAATGTTAAAAGTGATCGTACCTGCCGAAGCAGCAGTGCATTTATTGATTACAAAGCGGACCTATAGTTTGTTTTGTTTGTAGTATGTTGTTGTTGTTCTTGTTGTGAGTATTTTTCTCCTTGTGAAAAAATCTATAAATACTGGACTAATCACTTTTTTCAGTCGTTAAAATAGTTGTTGTCGTTAGAAGGCCCTCATTTTTTATTTGTTCTTAAATTTCCTAGAAGATCCGACATTTCATTACGACATCTGGCTGTTTTAATTTCATTCACCGTTTTTATTCCGCCAAGCGTGACGGCCTACTTCTACGCTGTTATTGGGCTTTCGTGTCCATATACTTGAGCTTTGCCCCTTTGTTAAATAAAATTATGTATTAAGCTGTTAAATTATCGCAAACTCTTGAAATATTTTACAGGGAAGGCACATTTTGAACTCTAAAACGCTTAAATTAGTATATTTTAGTCTATTTCACTCGCGACTGCAATATGGCCTGCTAAGTTGGGGCTCAGCAACAAGGTCTTCCTTACAGCCAGTCCAAGTTCTGCAAAATAAAGTTTTACGATGCATGGCATTTGCAAAGAAAGTTTGTGTAACTAACATGCAGCTCTACCACCAGTATGAAAGTTGCTGTTTTTCTCTCTTTCTTTTTTTTACACAAATTTCTGCTCTGGCATCAATTTGATGATAATTATGTTCAACTTTAAAAGCCATTGTTAATGATATTTCTATCTTTTGAATTATTGCTAAATCTGTGATAATATGATTGCCTTATTGTTATATTATTTCTCTATGTAAGTGAGTATAAAATATCTCTCTCTCGATTCGTATAGTACTGCTTAATTATTACCTTTTTATGTCATTAAAAGTTATTGTGTCATAACTGATAAACTGCATATTCAATTGTGGATCATAAATTAATATTCCAGTTCTTTTTCAAGTATGCATAAATACTTATAAATGTTGGTAGCCTCTCTGTAAATTAATTTAATAAGTTTTTTATATTGTTAAAAAAAATCATCTGTGTAAAAAAGTGATAAAGTGCATTAATAATTGCATTTCTAATTGTTCCTATTTAACTGTGGATTATCGCGACCCCTGGTTTGGGAACCCTTGCACTATACAGTATTCAGTGATTGTCACTGTTTTTTCCATGCTTCCATTTCGTAAATTAATTTTTTATATCGTTAAAATTCATTGTGTAATAAGCGATGAAATGTATATTTAATTATGGATCATACAGTAATATTCCAGTCTTTAAATAATCTTACTATATTGTTAAACTTATTGTGTAACAAGGGAACTGTATATTTAATCATGCATACTTAATTGCGGATCATATATTAATATTTCAGTTCTTTTTCAAGTATGTATCAATACTTATGAATGTCGGTAGCCAATATATAGTATTCAGTGATTGTCACTGTCTCTTTTTTTTCTTGGTTCCATTTCATAAATTAACTTTATAACCTTTTATATTGTTAGAATTCATTGTGTAATAAGTGATGAAGGGTATATTTGATTGTGTTATTAATATTCCAGTCTATTTCAAGTAATGACCTCGTTATATTGTAAAACCCACTATGTAACAAGTGAACTGTATATTTAATTGTTAATCATATACAGTATTAATATTCCAGTTCATTTTCATATATGTATAGATACTTATGAATGTTGGTAGCAACTATACAATATTCAGTGATTAGTACAATTTTTTCCCCTGTATTGTTCTCGTGAACTAATTAAGGTGTCAAATGATACTTTTACATCATGCGCTCGCTATATTGCTGAATCTGTGATGACATTATTTCTCGTCCCTATTATTTCATTTTGATCATTTCATTTTGACCTCTCAAAATCCTAAATTGCCCTTAATAATGATAACTTCCATAATACCATCAAATTGTCGACTCATTTCTTTTTCTTCATCCTATCTATATGTTATATATTTAAATTTATACTCGTTTGCATCCACCTATGGTACTATTTTGATGCCATGATAGGCTTATATACAGCATATACACAAGGGTCGGGAGCATAGATGACTTTAATCGGTCTTGCACACTGACCCGCACAAAGCAATAATCAATCACTGTTGTTACAGCTGAAATATTTTCGTTATTATATTATGTTTATAACAGTGTTGACTTTGTTTTGTAGCAATAAATCTCTCTCTCTCTCTCTCTGTTGATTCTAGTTGGATATATACATTTTATCTGCGTTTTAATTTTCGGGGCCGTAATGATGTAACGGTAAATGCCATGGCATAATTCGTATGCATTTCGATAATTTGTTAGAAAATTAAGATTTCTTTGAATAAAATAAGATGAATGAGATATTGTATTAGTATATATATATATATATTTTTTTTATCCGTGACATACCTTGGAAAATAACTGTTTGTCCATTAGCCAGGGTAACAGCATTTGGCTGTCCGATTGGGAAAACAGCAACGTTCTGTCAAATAAAAGTACACAGAATGAGTTTGTACTATTTTCAACTGTTACGGAAATTTAATGACGTTCAAGAGCTAAAAATGTTACAAAAATTGAAGACTTCAATCATGCGATGTTGTTTACCTGTTGGAAGTGGTATGGATCACAGCAACAACATCTGCGAGCAATTCCAGAATACGAGGTGCTGACGATGAACAGAATGAATAAAATAAACCAAAAGAACGATGCAATAGAGTGTAGAATGATGAGATCTACGGATTGCTGTCAACAAAAACATCGATGGTTGACTAATGTATTCGGACCAGATTGGAATCTATCAATTGGTTAATACTAGTTATTCTTTTTTGACATGACCAGAATCATATATGTTTTCAAGATAATATTGTAATATATATTTTTAGAAGAAAGCAAAAATTGGATTAGCATCTGCATTAATACAGTAATTAAACTTTCAATTAATATGTAGCACACAAACTAGAATATTTTTAGAGGTACTCACATACAAATACCATGATTGGCCTTACTCATTTTCCATGAACTGTATACAATACATGATATAAAGCTCTATTTTACCTTTTCTCAAACTGACAAAATCAAACAAGTCTATACTCACATAGCTAACAAGACTAGCGGTAATTTCCATTCCAAGAAGGCAGATCGAGACAAAGATTCCGATTACAGACAAAGTAAGATTTGTAGTAATCTGTGATATGTGTAAATATTGTCATTATTCATGGTAGAGTTAGTTGTTGCTTGGAAACGGACTTTGAACCCCGAGTCCTGGATCGCAAATATATCTACCCTGAATATCCGGACACACATTTATAAAGGACCACTCTAAAATTCTTTTTCGTTATTCAAATGAAAATGGTAAATTTAATCATCAGTCAAGTCTAACTCTTACTCAACTATCACAAAAAGATACCAGATACTCACTCCATAGCGTTGATTGGTGATATAATTATATAAAACGTACCGTACAAGTAGAAGGGCTGCAGCCTTGGGCAAGTCCAAAACATGAAAACAGAATCACCTGCAATAAACAATAGTTTTCAATAAATATTTCTACCACTAATCAATATTTTGGATTCGAATCATCAAATTCATGATCAATGAGGAAACTTACAAGGACGAAATATACAATTGCATCACGAGAAGTACAAAGTTGTAAACTTGTAACATTAAGTTAAAAGTCGATTTAAAGGTAGCTTAAAAACGATATCTACATACCAAAGCCCCTCCCCATATATTAGTTCCCAACTTCGACAGTGTTCCATAGTCGAAGTATTGATATGGGTAGTCACATCCCCTGGTACTGGTACAAACTGGCAGTATTGCAATGCCAAGGCCAACCAGACAGATCCCGAATATAAGTTCTGTAACCTGAAAATTTGAATAAAAAACAAGTTTATTCGGATTGGTCCTTGCGAAGATAAAAAATATTCATAATTGCAACCAGAGCGATGGAAAATTATAAAAAAAAGGGGTAAACTTAGAAAAACTTGAATATTGGAACACCAGTAAAGTGAGCATTATGTTGGTTTGCAGTGCTTTCCTGAATGAAAGTCTCTATCATGGTATTACAATATTTGACTAATAAAGAATAATACTTACAGCCACTCCTATAACGGAGCATTTTGTCTTTTTAGCGTACTCAATGTTAGTACCACTTGTTGGGCGCGTTTGTACATAACATATACCAGTAGGCGGAGAGGTGCAAATATTCCACGATGCTGGTACGTTCGTCATTTTTCCTATTTTCTTCAGATAAGAAAATTTGAATCTAGTATCAATTTATATAGTTTATCTGGCAAAATATTCACTAGTAATTAGCAAAGAGAAAATGTGAATTCGAGTTATAATTACGGTGGGTATTGACATTTTAACTTACGTTTGCTGTATATACACATAGACCATTTGTGTTTGCGACTAAACTCAAGCAAAAATTTTACTCAGAGTACAGAATTATAAGATTCCCATGAAAAAATATGTTCATATAGCTTACTAGTTCCTGTTCCTTAGCTGTAACTAGTTCCTTTAAAACCAAATATTCAATATTAAAGTACTAGAATTTGCGAGGCAAAATATAATCAGGCAACTATTTCAGAATTCAGCCAACAATACAACAAATGATATAGCGTCGAAACAATAACAGCGATCGACTTTTCTATGTTTTTATATCATATGAGATTTTAAAATATTTACCAGAAATAGCACCTGACACTATTTGTTCGCAAACAAACTGTGGGAATTTATTAAACTATGAAAAAGTCCATTTTTCATTTAGTTTTATTCTAGAGCAGTGTTCTTCAACCTTTTTTATCGTAGTATACCTTTTCCATTTTATTAAGAACTTTGTATACCTTACAAATACAAATAAACATTAAATTTTAAGCACATATTGTACTGCAATATCATCATGCAATCTAATAGGCTAGTGTCCGCAAGTTATAAATTTGACTGACGGCCTCAGCGTCAACGGCGATAATGTTCAACGTAAATTAAACAAAATGTATGGCAGCCGAAATCACCAACCCGGACACGTGACCGCATTATCTATATAATTTGTGATGTAACAATGTCCTCACGTCGGTTCGTTGAATATATGACATTTTATATTTCAAGAGCGCAGCGTTTGCATTGTTGTCTCCGCTTTTATCAAGTCCGTATATGTTTGGCTAAGGAACCGTTATAATTCTGATCAAAGATATTTTTACTCTGTGGTTTTCAAACAATGCCATCATGTTTTATCAAATCTTCTGAGCTTTTTCCGGCGAATTGCTTGACTCGTACATATGTATTTTTTGTTCCAATGTTCACCGTCAATGTCCGCTTACAGTGGATATACTAGGCCGCGAGCCGACCTCTTTTATCTTTCAGTTTCGTAGCGCACATAAGGTAGCTACCTGAAAATGCTTTTAAAATGTTCCTTAGAAATTTAGTAACAAATATTGCCTTGTTCCCACTTCCAAAAGTTGCACGTTTTACAGAAAAGACGCTTTTACTACAATAAATATGTGTTACCATCTGTCCTATTTTCTCTGCTTTTCCGGTATCATGGGCCAATGAACGCAGACTTTTGCATGACGTAACAATTAAATTAGTCAGCTGTAGGTGGATCCCTGTGGTCGGATGAATATCAGATGTACTACTGCTCGCTTTTGCGTCGAGTACGGTAGCCTTCCCATAGTTTTTTTCAGTTATTATTATTAGTTCAGTTATTCTAAGGAGGTGTTGAAAGTATAAGTAAGATATTAAACACTTGTATATCCTTACCATAAAAAGCAATTTTAGTTGAGCACTAGCCCATAAGACGTTGTTAAATAGGTACGGTGCGGTAACTCCAAGGAAGGCTAGACCTAGAATAATATTTCACAAACAACAATATTTTCTGGCTTGCATGAAATGTTTATGATTAATTTAATGACTTTTCTTGACTATTCAGCAGACTTGTACTACTATATAGGCCACAGCATATTTGGAAATAGAAATTAATGGCTGTTTCTGTAATGCACGGTTGTGTGAAAGAGAAGGAAATAATCAATTTTACTAATGTCGTTTGGTCTAAATCTAAATTCATAGAGTCGACAAGAACCTGGGAAGCAATGATAAGGTTTGCCGGAGTGGAAAGTAGCATTGGAAACGATTGAGAAGTGAGAAATCGAGTTGTAGACAGACAGTTGATGTTTTAAAATATAGTCTATAGTCCATACTCATACTGTCATAGGTAGTCATAATAGTTGAAAACAGCTATTCATATTGAAATACTTTAGCACTTTTCTGCAATTGGAACTGCAAATCAAACTCATGTCGGAGACTTCATTGAGGTTTTCAAATCATTTTTTTTCTCAACTATGAAGATCTTTTGAGGTTAACGAGGCATTAATAAATAAATAAATAAATAAAAAAAAAATAAAGCTGAGAAATTTGTTTGTTAACTGTATGAAGAGGATATGAAGAATGTAAATGATACCAGGGCACGTCTATTTAACACTGGCAAACATAAGGATTATACTCTCTCACCCAACAATGACTCACTGAAGAAGCATGTGGCCCTCAAATCAGTTCTTAAGTTGGCAAACTGCAAGTGTAAGAAAAATGATCAAAATAATTTATGCAAGTGTGCCAAAATCAACTTAAATTGCACAGATTTTTGCTTTTGTATTGACTGCAAAAATCACAGTACATTTATAGAGGAAATAGTCCGGCAGATAAGGGGACCTTTTTGGCCCAAGTTTGATTTCAGACATAAAGTTTTTTTTATTTGTGATTATTCATCTTGGGGTCATTGCCCATTATTTCTACATGGGTGTGGAGTTTGCAGCCTTGAGCAATTTTTTTTACGGCTCGATATTTGTATTAGTGTTTTTCGTCAAACCTGTGCATCATAATGACGCACAACCTGAACCATAACCTGTTACAATACTATGTTCAGGTTGTGCGCAATCTTGGTGCACAAACTACGCAAGCACCAAATTTACTAGGAAATAAAATCAATCACTTTTAGGTATTTGTTGAGCCCAGTTTGGGTCGCGACCCATATTAAGTATATGGAAATACTGTCGAAACATGCGCGTAAAATAAAGAGTACTATTTCAAAATACCCGTTTTTGTTGCAATTAACAATACAAGCCTGCTAATGCCAGTGGTTCAAGAGGATATACACCCAGTGGAGAACAGTCAATTATTTGTTAGCGAGAATTGTTAGGCAGCGGGATGATCACGACGACACAGTGAAAAATAATGATATCACGAGAGCAAGCATGAGAAAATTGCTACATTTCATAGTATATCCCTGGGAAAGAATGTAGTTCATTCTTATGTTCCATGCCAATGCTTTTCAAACTACCAAAGACTCTCAACACTTTTGCTTCTTCTCTTCTATAAAAATACATTGTAATTGTATATTCGCATTTCCATCTGTTTGTTCGTGCTCCCAGATAACTGATCAGCGGCCTCCAAGGAGGACGGGGTCCCCTTTTAAGAAACCCTGTCATAAACTAAAAGAGGCGACTGTGCTTCTCTTGCCTGTTGTCATGCTGTCCCTGGAATTTAGCTACAACAAAAATTTCACAAGAACGGATTTTTAAATTTTATGATTTTATTAATATTCTCAACAATGAATGATATACGGGTGGTAAAATGCCAAGTTATTCCAACAACATGATCATGTTTTGCAATTTACAACTAATATTTTGTATGTAACTTTGTTTGACAGAGCCCCAAGAGCTCTAACTACAAATATCAAATATGTGAGGCCAAAAAAAGCAGTGGCACACTACAACATTGTCAAATGTGCTGTATTTACGATAGATAATAGGTTTACCAAAAAGAATTACATGAAAAATGGTAAAATAAAGATCAATTCAGCAATATCTACTTGGTGATATATGCATCTGTTGATGATGTGTTTGTTTCGGAAGTTTAATAACAGAATTAATTGTGGTTGTTGGGGATGTTTTATAAAAAGGTTGCATGGAAAAAAGTTTTCACAAAATATCAAGGTTTGATAGTAGTAGAGAAGTAGAAAAAATACTCCCATGTTTTTTTTTTTTCATTTGATAACCACGCCACAGAACTTCCCCGATAAGTATACGCAGCAATTGCGAGAGGCAGAAATGCCAAGATGGGATTTCATCGCATTGCAAACCAATATAGCAATTCTTATATATATTCGCGCATTCCCACCTGAACAGCGTGGAAAAGATTATACCCATCTACACACTTTAAGAACTATGTCAGTGAGCTTCATATTATCGAATATCAGTAAAGGAATAGTGCAATGGGAAAAGACATATAAGGCGGAACTTTCAGTAGTATACAATCAAATAATCTTATTGTAGAATATATATTTAAAAACATTTCGTCACGCCAACTGCAGTCCGAAACTTTTTGTCTCTGGCTGAGTTAGATACCAATTGACACGCATGTAAACTGGTAAGACTGTAAGAGGCACGCGATGGAGCAGATACTAAGAGTATCCATCCCCCAACTGTCATTTGAGAGGGTACTGCTGTTTTTATTGCAGATGTTACTGATCTTTTTGTATTTAAGATTTACTGGCATCACCGATTTAAGAATATTGGAAACCAACACGCAATATTACAAAACTTACTTTTAACACGAGGTTTGAATGAATGAAAAAGCTGAAACTAGTATTCTTTAGAACAGCATACAAATTCTATGGAATGAAATCATACACAAAAGCTCGTCAAAAACCTATAGCTCAATAATCAAGTGGAATTTGATACATGTGCGCAAAAATGTGCGCGTTACTACGTACAACCGAAGCACGCAGGAAGATGTGTGTGATGTACTAGTATTCAAAACTTTGACTCAACTGTGTTGGCATAACAGGTGCACATCTCGGTTTCGCATACGCATACCTTCTATCTCCACAAGAATATATTAATTTTGCCAAAGTCAATGCAGCACTGAAAGGTTGCGGTTCTTCCAAAAGAAAACTCGTTACACATCTTTAGATACCAGTGGATGGTTTTACATGGCCTTGTTCGGAGTGAAAGACGAGGTCAAATATTCCAATCCAATTCAACTAATAAAATATTTCCCAAGTCCCTAAGCTTAAACTAGGAAAACGAAATGCGCGCGGCAACGCAAATGTAGTTTGAAGAGCGCAATAGAAAGTGGCTAGATGCTGTCGATGGATCTTGGCTTGTATTAGTGAAATAAACCACTATTTATTCTACTAAAATTAAATTTCTGACATTGTAAGGAGATTCAATGTTGCCATGTATGCAAAACTAAACCATGTAGTTATGAAATAATTGTTTTTAACAAAAAGGCGCTCCTGAAGTATT